TCAAGGGAAAACAGGACTAGACAGACAGAAACTACACAGAAAACACAGATCCTAACAGTATTGTTTTCTTAATTGTGAAAACTGTCACAGTGTCCTGACAATATGAGACCAATAATGTGAAACGAACTAGCTCCTCTGCCTCCTTGGGGTCCTACTGCCATCTGCAGAAATGCACCCCTCCCTTTTTGCTGTACAAATAAGCTTGACTTAAACTCAAGCCATGGCGGTGTTTAAAAATCTCAGTGGATCAATTCTGAAATAAAACCAGCCTATCTGGCACCAGCAACCATCCCTCCTTTAAAGTTATTTAAACTCTTCTTTATCTAGATGCTCAGTTTGAAACTCAGCCAAGTAGAGTTTGTCTGTCATAACGTGTGATTGCAAAAGAAGACAAACACAGAACACGTTGTAATAGAAATGAAGTGTTTTAATAAAATAAGAAAAACTACAGATACATGCAGGAGACATGGAACTCAGGTAGACAATGGACAGAGAAATGGAAAGATCCAGTGACGAAAAAGAAAAATCCAGGGGCTAATGCTGCATTACGGTTACCATGGAAACACATCAATGATTTAAAAGCCAGATTATTGGCATGACTGTTCAGACTGCAGATGCTTTGACAACTTTTGGATATATAATATAGGGAAATGGGATGAGGGTAAAAAAATGGAAGTAGGTTGCGTTCAACTGTTTTGTTAAAATAGCATTAAATGCAGAAACAAATAAGAAGGAATAAACTTATATGGCAAGATCTGATATGGAAAAAGATTAACTATAAGAGTCAAAAGCAGTTGAGCAATAATAGAGGATTCCAAACATAAATAACAGTCAAAACTCAAACACTCAAGGTTCATGACATTATCATGTCTAGTTGTATACAACACAGTTTACTTTGTCTAGTTGGCAGATTTGTCATTTGTGTTAACGAACAATTTAACAAGTTAATTAAGTTTGCTGAGATTGACCTTAATAAATGCTGCATGAAAATGACGTGTTAACTTGCACTTTGTTATATTCATGTTTAACTACTGACTCACTACCCATTTTCACGCAGGCTTTGTTGAAAAAGCTCAGTGTATTTCACAAGACTTTTGGATCGCTGTTAGGTTTGTACCCTTATTGCTTTTACTTGCAAACATATAAAATACTTCTTAAAGTACATTCTGAAAGTTTTGTCTCGTATCCCATAAACAACGGGACTTAGACAGCGAGGAATGATCTGGATTAATATAAAAATAGTATGCTGTATGGGAATTCTCTGCCCAGGAAACAAGTATATAAGGAGCTGCTTCAGTAAAGTTTGCATATACAGCGTCATGCACATCAACATCTGAAAACCATGAAGCAGAATAGTGTTTCTTGCTTTTTTAGCATCAGAATTTGCAGCTTTTGCCACAAACAAAACTCTGAAATAAGTGTAGAACAGAATGAGACAAACAACCACCAGAAAAAATATATGGGACGCATCTCTCTTATTTTTACTGTCGCTGCTTCTGAACACTCTGTCCCTGTCACAGAAAACTCTTGTTTTCAAAAAATGCAGCTCTTCAGTAATGAAAAGAATAAAGATATCAGGCAGAATAGTAAGCAAGCTTATCACCCACATAATGCCAATGGCAATGTAGGTTTTCTTAACTGTACATATGTTTCCATGGCGGAGGGGGATGCAGACGGAGATGTAACATTCTGCTGCCATGCAGGCCAGATTCACCGGAGTGTTTCTGGTGGTGAGAATAGCCGGCAGGAGGATGAGCATGCACAGGGAGACATAGATGGTGAAGTAGGAATTGGCAAAGAGGTAGAGGGAAATGCTGAGTATCAACTGGAGTGTTTCGTTTAGCACCAAGTGGATGAAAAGGATGTAGCGAGGGTTGAACCTGAAGATCTGTGAAGTGCATGAGTCCAGAGTTAAATGACAAGGTGAGAGAAAACAATGAAAAACACTTCTGTGTTGTAACATTTCAGTTTGGATTTAAAACTTAACAAAAAAAAAGATATTTTGCTATTCCAATAATTCAGAAACCTAAACATTACACAATACATTAAACGTCACACTGTAGTTTCTCTCTCTGCTCGTCACCATGTCAGTTTAACAGTGTCAACCATAATCACGTTTTATAGACCTATGCTGAGCATGGAAATATAGGGAAAACATTATGCAATAATTGAAATAAAGAAAAGATAAGGATCATTTTTATTATGTTAGATCTAATCTGTAACATAAAAGAGACGTGTGGGTTAGAAAAAAAGATGATGAAATTGAGCACATAAAACTAGTGCTCAATTAGTTTTATGAAAGTTTTGTCTCATATCCCATAAACAACGGGACTTAGACAGCCTAACTACCTACTAGTTAGGTAGTCTTTCTACCTAACTATTGAGAAACAAAAAAAAGGCACAACACTAACACACATTATAAAAGAAAATACACACTTGATGTTTGTTGAATATGTGAATCATTAGCGTATTAATGGAGCAGGTGATGATGCCGAGTAAAATAACAACCAGATTGCATATAACAGCAGTCAAAGAAAGCATGCCCAGATTAACTCCAGGTCCGGTCAGGTTGCCCTCAGTAACTGTGAAATTTGTGCCAGGAGCTGATGAAGAAGACATCTGATAAAACATAAAATTACAAAAGGCATAGTTTAACTTATGATAAAAAAAAAATACATATAAATGCATACATCAAGTTTTAAGTTCCTGAAAGACAGATGGAAATCCTCCTGATTAAAAATACAGACCTTGAAAGAGGCGTGTTGAGAGTAATCTGTGTTGATGTGGGTGTTCTCTATGTAATATTTATCAGGGTACTAGCCTGAGTATTTATTTGTGAATCTTATTTAATACAGACACACCTATACATCAGAGGTGACCAATGATGAAGGACTTAGTTTTCTAACTCTAACAGATCTTTCAATGTAAACTGGAAATAAGTTAGAAAAAAGCAATATTGGAAAAGATAATTTTAAATGACTAAGGTACTTATGATTACAAATTACTTTTTAAATAGTCATGATTATAGAGCTTATACTACATTATGCATTTCTCCCCCCAATACTTATCAGAATTTCAAAAAGAATCAATATTTTACATAGATTGTTTTTGGTCTTTAGTTGGTTAATAAAACAATGGTTTATAAGTCATCTTCATAACTTCCACAAAAAGTTGCTTTGGCTCTATTGTTATCTTTAAGGTTGACAATATCCCACTTTGGTTGTTTTTAAAAGTGGCTATGTGAATAAATAAATGTTTAAATGAGGCTAAAAATGGAAGAATTTACTTGGGCCCTGCTGTTACTAAAAAGTACAGTTTCATAATATATTGTTTTCGTACACATCAAATTGTTGAGAACAGGGAATTTAACAAGGTTTTTAAAGAAACATTTTAATAAGATTCAATACAGTTGATATACAATGAATGAATACAAAAATTAAAAGTACATGCCCCACTGTGTTACTGTGGGCTTATCTTACACAGAAAATATCCTTTTAGGTGCTTTCTGAACGTTTTGTCTCGCACACCATAGATAATTGAGCTAATAAATCTTGGTAATATTTGGAACAATAAATAACAAGCAAACAGAACATCTAAATAAGAATCACGAAACCATTGCCACACCATATCTTTTACAAGGTGTTCTACATATGTTGCCATACACAACAGAAGCTGAAACCCATGGAGAACGATTGTGTTCCTCGCCTTTTTAGCATCTTTACTTGCTGTTCTTGCTGTGAACATTATGCGGAAATAGATGAAAAAGATAATGCACCAAACTAAAACCAAATATACAATGTAGGTAATATTTCTCCTCTCTATTATTCTGGGATTTTTAAAAACAAGTTCCCTGACGCAAAACACGCGTAATTTAAAATAGTCCTGTGACTCCGTAGCCAAAGTCATGAAGAGATCAGGGAGAACAGACACCAAGCTGGTGGCCCAGATTAAAGAAATCAGCAGCCGTGTTTTCTTAACTGTGCAGATCTGAGCGTGACGGAGGGGGATGCAGATGGCGATGTAGCACTCCACTGCCATGCAGGCCAGGTTCAGCGGGGTGTTTTCAGTAGTGAAGATAGCAATCAGTATAAAGAAGCAACAAACAGTCATAGGAAGGTAGAATAAGTAGCTAGTGACGAAAAGTGCAACACTCAGTGTTACTTGAATCATGTCATTGATCACCAAGTGAACAAACAGGATGTACCGGGGATTTGTGTTGAAGATCTAAAGAAAGACAAGAAAAGCACTTGTATTAGTAGTGACACTTATAGAAGTCAAAGGTAATGTATAATTTTGAGTGATGGACTAAATAAATAATGGTACAGGTACAGCTTAGTTCACATGGAAGCTGGTCAGAAATTGTGGTAAGATGGATGATGCTACACAGAGGGATAAACCTGTTGCAGGGTTCAAAACACATGAAACCTAAGGTGGAGTTTTTAGGAACGAAAACCCTACATTTACAGTTAGAACTACAAAGTATTGGTTTAGTTAAAAACATCTCCATGTGTTAGAATGGCCCAGTTAAAGTTTCGATGGAATATAAAATGAGAAACTATAGCAAAACCTGAAAATCAATGTTCACTGCTTACCATCAATCATTATGTATCTGAGGATGGGGTGAACATTATCACAAGCCACACTTATCTGATATTTACATGCAAAAAAATCTGAAAAACCGAGTTTCATTTTCCTTCCACATCACATTTATATGTTACTTTGTGTTGTTTTGTCACAAAAAATCACAACAATATGCAGGTTTCTGGCTGTAACATGTGAAAATATTTTAAAAATCATATCTATGTATACTGTTGCAACACACTGTATTTAATCATCTTCTTCTGCTTCAAAACCTTGACAAAATCACAATGATGAACATAAATGCTAAGCACTACCATAAAACTAGTATTCCATTTGATTCTTCAGTGAATCAAATGAAGAATCATTTGATTAATTGATTAAGGTAGTAAATGTCATTAAAATGTCTGACCTGGTGTTTAGAGAAGGTATAAATGAGTCCTGCATTGATGGAGTTGATGAAAACGCAGAGGCCCACAACAATGAGGTTCTTGAGCAACACCTTGGTGAAGGGAATCTCTATCACTGTCACATTGGCAGCAGACACATTCATTTCTTTAGGTCTGTAAAGAGAAAAGAAAAAGACACTACATTTTTTTATAGAGAACTTCTTTTAAATCAAAAGTGGTTTTCTTTTCCTCCTGTTCATGACACAGATAATCTGTGTCATGTTATACTGTCATGACATAGTGACATTTTTAACAAATATGTGAAAAACATATCTTTATAAAAGTTACTACTACCACTGCAGCTTTATTCTTAGAAATATGGTGACCTTATTGATACCTGCATCAACATGACATGTTTACATATTGTGATAAACTTATATCTTAACATTCTGACGTGTTTAAAAGGATCATGACATTATTTTTAGGTATTGATTATTGGGCAGTTTAAACTATTGCACATCACAATGACGTGTTTACTCAAAGAAAAAGAAATAAATAAGAGACAACACAAAACCATATTAATTTTTGTAACCAAAATGCCCAGAAATTCACTTTGAAAATATGGACAAACATTTAAAACTGATCTCTTTCAAATGTTCGTTTATCAAGTTGTAAAATGTTGACTTTCAAAAACTCATTTTCATCTTTTTAAGACCAACAAAGGGAAAGGAAACCCGCCCTCAAGTATTCTTTTTAGGTATTGCGTTTTTTATTTATTTTTTTTTTTTGATCAAAACTTTATTGAACAGAAGTAGCTCTCAGTCGAGCAAAACAGAGGTGGCGTCAACAGGCACTTCATGCTGTCCTGTTGAAGGAAATTACTGCATACATAGTTCGTTTAAGGTTGCATTTCCGGTAGGATATTGTAAAGGTATTATTTTGTAACTTTCTTTTTGTTCAATATGTTGTCCATTACTTCACAATAAAACGAGTCCTTTGGTTATACAAACGACCTGCGACTTGCGAGGTTCTCCAAGATGGCGTCCATGTATTTTCATTAAATATATACAGTCGCAATTATAAAAGTGCATATTATGCTGCAGCTCATATCCATATTTAAATTGTCTGGTTTTTCTAGTTTTCAGATTCACCCTTTTGAATGTCATTAAACCTGCTGATAACGTTCTCAAGAGTTGTGACATTTGCTACCATTTGACAATGCAACACATTGTCTTAGAAAAGTTGACAGTGTTTTAGTAAGTTATTTTGAGATTTAATACAGGTCACACGAAAAGACTGAAAAAAAACTTGAGATATATATACCTTATTAATATCACTGTGGGCTCACCTTACATAGTAAATACCTTTTTAGGTGCTTCCTGAAGGTTTTGTCCCTTATGCCATAGATAATTGAACTAATAGATCTCGGTAGTATTTGGAAAATTATATAACAAACAAACAGAGAATCTGAGTAATACTTAGGAAGCCATTGCAACACAGCCTGTTTCACCAGGTGTTCTGCATACGTTGCCATGCACAAAAGAAGCTGAAGCCCGTGAAGGAGGACTGTGTTCCTCGCCTTTTTAGCATGTCTACTTGCTGTTCTTGCCGTAAATAGTATGCGGAAATAAATGAAAAAAATAATGCACCAAACGAGAACCAGATATACAATATATGTAATATTCCTTCTCTCTATGATTCTGGGACTTCGAAAAGCAGTTTCCCTAAGGCAAAACACTTGTGTATTAAAATAGTCCAGTGGCTCCGTGGCCAAGGTAATGAAGAGATCAGGGAGAACAGACACCAAGCTGGTGATCCAGATTAAGGAAATCAGCAGCCTCGTTCTCTTGATCGTGCAGATCTGAGCGTGGCGGAGGGGGATGCAGATGGCGATGTAGCACTCCACTGCCATGCAGGCCAGGTTCAGCGGGGTGTTTTCAGTAGTGAAGAGGGCAATCAGTATTAAGATGCAACAGACAAATACATGGATCTTGTAGAGGATGTAGCTAATGATGAACAGTGCAACAGTCAGCGTTACTTGGATCATGTCATTGATCACCAAGTGAACAAACAGGATGTACCGGGGATTTGTGTTGAAGATCTGGAGAAAAACAACAAAAACAGTAAAACAGCACATTATTGAAGCGGTGTGTATAGTAGTCAAGAATTTACATTTTATGTCAAATGATGGACCAAATAATTATGAGGTCTTATGCAATACTGTTGGGAACTGACAGAAAATGACAGAAATTTTATGTTGCATGTGTTGCATGACAACTATTAATTTTACACTATAAAAATCTGTCCTTTGTGGAAAAGAGGCCCATTGTTTAAAAAACCTGCAGTGAGAGATGGCTTTTCTAATAAATTACTGATCCTAAATGCTAAGAACTTTAAACACTATGCATCATTTTCCTTCCACATCACTTTTCTGTGCTACTTTGTATTGGTCTGTCAAATTAAATCACAGCCAACTTTAGTATGGCTTTAGCATGAAAAACATGTAAAATTGAAATATGTGAATACTTTTGGAAGATACTGCATTTAATATTCTGCTTCAATTTAAATGTAAAACCTTACCATTAGTTTTCTATTCAATATAATTCTGAAATAACTGTATCCTGAAGGCAGTAAATATGATTAAAATAATGACCTGGTTTCCGCAGAACGTATGAATGAGTCCTGCATTGATGTAGTTGATGGAAATGCTAAGAACCACAACAATAACATTCTTAATCACAGCCTTGGTGAAGGAATCCCGGTTATCTGGAACTCCTGTCACATTAGCAATGGATATATTCATCTTTTCCAGCCTGTAAAGAGAAAAGAAGAAAGTGTTTCATCTTTTACAGAGATCCAATATCAAAAGTTTTTTTTTTTGTTTTTTTTTTCTGGTTTTCATAATAGTTGATGGTTGAACTCTAAACCCTATAAAGGTGCATAACTTTGTTTAAGCACTTCTGACACTTACAAACCCAAACTTGCTTTTGCTCAGAAGTTAAGTTTTGGCATTTTGTACATCATGTTGTAAAATTGCTTAGATTTGGAACCACATTGAAACTTTCTGCCCATCAATGAATCTTTAGAAAATGTTATGGTGTCTCTTTTAACATGCTCTCCTTCTTAAAGGAATGATATAACAACAATCACAGGCTCTTCTTAGAGTTTTACAATCCAGCACTCCTGCTTTCTTTTAACACCAAATGAAAATAATTGTTGCATAAAAAACCTTTTTCAACTGTCATGTAAAGTAAATAATCAATTTCAACGTTTAGGCTATCAATCATTAAAAGCATAATATTACAAAAAACGTAATGAGTTGGGAAAAGAGGAGCCTAACTCCATAAATTAATTCACACCTCTAAGCAAAATCTGGGTAATTGCACTAAATATCTATACAAATAATATACTTTTTCATGAAGATGTAAATGCAGGACATTTTCAAGAGGTAAAATAGAAGCACTAACCTTGAACTCAAGATCACCACATCAGCAATTTTGTTTTGTTGTTGTTTTGTTTTGGTTTGGTTTTTGGCTAGATTTTTTTTTTTTTTTACCTGTTCCTTATTCAGGAAGGTTAAAATGTGCTAAAGACATCCAGTTCAACTCAGTCAGCTTGCTTTTATTGTGTGTGAAGATTATGTTTTCCTTTGTTTTAATGCCAAAGTCTACAGGATCTTTGTCAGATTAAAACAACACTAATACTGACATTCTATTCTTTATATAGTTTGGATGGCATCAGTCTAAGGGTTCATTGGTGTGCCTGTGCATACGTACAAACTAGCAGCCCTTGTGATACTGTGTGTGTGTACATGTATGTGTGTGTGTGTGTGTGTGTGTGTATGCATATTTGACTGGATGAAATCTCCAAACATACAAAACCATCTATTATCTAAATCTTTTACTGATCTGTCACTGACACAGTTAAAAAAAATCACAAATACTTGTTCAGTTGCTAGATATGATAGAAAGAAGAAAAAACGAAGACTTTATTTCAAAGCTTCGTACTTCTGTTCTCAGTTCTGTACATCATCCAATTTGGTCAACATGTCAGATCTGTTGTAACATTTTTTTTTTCCCAGATGCCTGCTTTAGAATATAAATTCTGATCATTTTAGGAAATATGCTTACATAGTTACATTATTGTACATAGCTACAATAATGTTTGTTATCTTTCAAGAAAACTAAATAAATTGAATTGTAAAAAGAAGTTGTTAGGGGTTTTGAACATGCTAATAGTGCTTTTTTCATGGGTTACCTTTGCCATGAGTGTTTCTAATGGTTAGTTTTGGATTTTAAGTAAGGACACAGTATATAACATTTCATTAACGATAAGGCTTAAGACTTCAAAGAGAGTTTTAACCTTAGCTCTCTTTGAATGTGCAACAACAGTTTTATGAAAAAGAAACATGGTTTAGATTTTTGTTTGCATTTAGTGAATCTATTAATTCTAATTGTAGGCCCTGCAAGTTTAACTTTTTTCTGTTATGATTCATAAGTTAAAACTTCTTTTGAAAACTTGCAATGCTGCTGCACTCACTTCTACTGGCAATACAACTGGGACATCCTGACATTTCCAGTAATCCTCAGAGTTCAAAAGACAAGTCGTGCTGCAGGATGAGCAAACAAGCATCTCCATAACTCTCTTTAGACTCCAGCTGTAAAGGTCAGGCACAGAGGGGTGGGTTGTTATTTGGGATTCAGTGCCTTATCCACAATAAAACCACCAAGGGGATTTACTAAATGAGCCTTTTGAGAGAGGTTGTTGTGAATGCTATTAAAGAATCAGCAAAGGAAACATTAAGGTGATTATTTATTTGAAATCCCAATTAGGAACAAAGTTCAACATGTTTGATAGCAATCATATGCATAAGGTTAACAAGATTTGGAAGATTGTTTTCAAACAAATCCCCTCCACACAGAGTTTTTAATCAAATCCACCAGGACAGCAGCTTTGTTGCTTACTTTGCAAACTACTTTTCACTTTGTTTAGTTTATTATGAAGTTAAGTTGTCCTGTAACTGGTGGGCTGCCAATTCAAACCCTCTGTCTCACTCACTTTTCCACTGGGTGCCATTCGGTTGTCTATAGTCAGTGTGTCTCTACACTCGGTTGAGAAGTTCTGCAAATGTACCAAATTTCAAACTTCTATGATAAAGTTAGACATTGTGACTTTCAAATGTAAGAACTCTTTTGAATTCTTAAATGTATTGCACAACTGTCACTTATGCAAAAATGTTTAGGCCTCAAAAAAAAAAAAAGAAACAATTTCAGTGAAGGGTAATAAACATTCAAATTGCGATTGACCTTTGCACAGCTTCCCTCCCCACAGGTTTTATTTAAATCTAAAAAACAAAAAACCTGACAGTATTCAGGCTAACGCTACAGTTTCTATTGATGTTCTGATCAGCATTTTTACTTTGATACATATGGGCGCCACAAGACCCATTTCTCTAATTGGCTGTGACACCATGAATAACCAGAAGACGATGAAGCGTCTAAAAGTGAAGTTTTTGTTAAATGTGCCTCTGAGGTGTAGTAGTGGAGAAGGATTTTATTCCAAACAAGCCCATTTTCCAAACCATTGTAGCACTTGGCTAAGTGTTTTGCTAAAAGTGTCTAAATTGGTGCATAAAATGGTTCATAATTGTTCAATTGTAAAGTTCCAGTATTTTTGTCGGATGTATCTGTAGTTCTGCAGTCACACCAGTAGGTGGCAGTAGTATCATACAGAATCGTCAACCAGTTGTGTGTAGGACAAGGGACACACCTAAAAGTTGCAGGACTGTGGCCCACAAAGACTGTACAGACCATTGCTATGAAATATAATTTAATCACTTTAAATAACACCTCATCTTACTTTCTAACACCTACTTCTTACTTTATGCATCTAAATTAATTTATTATGCAACTATTTTTCCTCAGGATTAGTAACCAATATGTCTCAAAAATATTTACTTCTGTTAGAAATCACATGGTGGATGTATAATACCCTGACACTCTGCATACGCTAGACAGACTCCACAGATTATTTTAAAAAAAACAACTAGAGACAATTTTATTCAGACAGACCTTTGATTACTGTTGTTTTTACTTTTTGTTTTGACTTTGTGAAGCACTCTGTGATATGTCTGTGAAAGGTTTTATAAAAATAAGATATTACTTTACGACTTGTTTTATATACATTATAGAATTGTTTGAAATACATTTATTTGATAAAGAAAAGTTTATTAAGAAATTTAAGTTCAACACAGGTTATATTATACACAAGACTGAATAACTAAATTAGAAGTATAGGTTTCACTGAGAGTTTTACACATTGTACACAGTAAATACGTTTTTATGTGCTTCCAAAAAGTTTGAACCCTTATGTCATAAATAACTGAACTAATGAATCTTGGTAGTATTTGGAAAATTATATAACAAACAATTCATCAGAGCAATTTCAACACAGCCTGTATCGCCAGGGGTGTTGCGTATGTGTCAGGAGGCCTGCTTGTGCGTCTCAACAATAGCATTTAGCTACCTTGACATTAACTGAGGTTTGATATATCCCTTCCTGAGTTTGGTAATTTAAACATTTCCCAATTAAACCTCAGGATAACTTTGTTAGATTATTTTCTCCTGTGAAGATTTATTTGTTTTCCCTCACTTTTTCAATAAAATGATTGATTCACATAGATAGGGAGAGATTAAGAAATTGTGAGATTAATGGCCAATTCCTTCTCTAACATCATTATTTGTCAGGTTATACTGAATAGTTAATTTTCATTTTGGTCACAACTTTTGGAGTACAAAGTTCCAGGCCCATAGATATGTGCTGTAATGTTCAAGTACAAGCATTATCAGAGTCTGGCCCTCATTACAGGCAGTTTGTTGGCCTTGTTTCCAGTGAAAATTGGACTCACCGCAAGTTCCCCATTGTCACTGAATATTTTCAGAAACTGAATCTAAAGGTGCAACCAAGGTGATAAGGGGATTCATTTTTGTAAATATAACCATCTTTGATTGTAACAAAACTGTGTTTGAAAAAAGTCTTAGATACGGCTTAGAGTTTACATTTAGTGGATTTAGGTCATGTATTTTGTTATGATTCATAAATGCAAACTTCTCTTTCAAACTTGCAAAGTTATTGCACTTACTTCCTTTTTGCAATACAGTAGGGATATCCTAACATTTCGAGTAATCCTCAGAGTTCAAAAGTCAAGTGATGCTCCAGGACAAGCAAACAACCATGTTGGTAATCCTCTTTGGACTCCAGCTGTAAATGTCACACACAGAGGGGTGGGTTGTTATTTGGGATTCAATGCATTATCCACCATACAACCACAAGGGGCTCTATTAAATAAGTCTTCTGAGAGAGGTTGTTGTGAATGTTATTAAAGAATCAGTAAGAAAACATTAGACTGATTAGTTGAAATGTCTGTTCCAATTACATAAAACAAAGTGCAGATGATTAAGGTTAATGATGTTAGAAAGATTCTTTTCAAACTAATTCACTGCACACAAGGCCTTTAATCAAATCCATTAGGAGAGCAACTTTATTGCTCACTTGGATAACTGCTTTTCACTTAGTTTAGTTTACTTTTATGAAGTAATCTTTTTTTCTTACTTGTTTATGAAAATATTTTTGATATTCTGTTGGTGCTTTTCCCCCTAAATTTCAAATAAACTCACTGAAAGGAAATTTCTCTATATTGACCAAGAGCATTATGACCTAATAACTTTTCAAATTAAAGATATATATTAGGTAACAACTAGTGTTTTTTTATACTTCTGTTGTGTTTTAAAAAACTTCACACATTTTCTTGAAGTTTCTGGGTGAAATTTAATGGGCAATTTTGATTTTGTTTCTTCCTCCAAACTTCCAGTTTGAACAAAATATACAGATTAGGAGGCCCAACCATTTGGTTTTCTTTACGTCTACTGCCTTGTGACCTAAGGAGATGAACTTTTCTCTTTTTCTTTACTATTGACAATATTTCCTGTTTCTTGTTGTTCCCTTTCCTTATGCTACAAAGATTTCTGGAAAAAACAACAAAAAGAAACTGAAGTTGCTACAAAGATGATTTTTTTGTTGTTATTGTCTTTGGGACTTACTGAGGTCACTTAAAAACATTTGACTAAAATTCAATTTAATTACTGAATAATAAATCCATTTTAGCCAGAATTGTTAACAGCCTACAATTCTCTAAAGTGTGGCCAAAAAACATCTGCATATCTAAAAATAGTAAAAAGTAAGGACCAAAAAAAGAAAATGTAAAACACTCAGCAGCAAAATGTTTAGTCCTTTATTGCCCTCTTTGGTTTGATACAAAGTTTCATTACAAAAATACAAAAGTAGTTATCAGAAAATATACAAAATTATACAGATATTCCAAAATTAAGGGCTATAAATTTATGTTGGTATTATTGGTACAAACCAAAATAATTAAACACCTAAACTAACAAGAAATTTCTATCGATTTAGGATGAAATTTCTAAAATCAAATAATGTAGCTTCTCAAATATATATATATTATATTTCAGAATATTTGATAAATGCTTAAAATTATAAATATTCTTAAAAAATAAAAGCAGTAAGTCCTTCAGCATTGGCAGATTTCTCTATTGAATTAACACCACAGCTTCAGTAAACATTAAGACTCAAAATTTCTTAAATTCCCTTTTATATTAAAACCATTTCTACTTTTTGATGATTTGGTTTGAGAATTTGCTCTGGAGGCAAAACATAAAAAATGTTATGTGACATAAACCAGAGAGTTGATAGAAGTGGCATCAAGAACTCGTGTCCTGCTTTGGTGTCTTTGTGTTTCTGCTGCTGGTTAAAAAAATTAAATTAAAAACTGCAACCTGCCATCAATACATATTTTGTCAAACTGTAAAAAGGGTTCGGTATAAATAGTGCACTGAATGACTGTGACTATAAAGAAACTTGATAATTTAACTGTGAGCTGACGTCTTGTACCTAAAATACATTCATTACATCTAGTTTACAAAAAACAGACACCCTGCTTAGATTGGCGTGCTTGTTAGAAATAAACCAGTAACAAAATGCTGTTTAATAAACAAAGGTATTGATTATGTTCTGTGTAAAAGAACACTGTAAAACAGGGGCAAGTTTTGAGGTTGTATTTTTTTTTTTTTTTTTTAATACAACATTTTTTACAGCTACATTGTACATTGGTGTTTGGGAATTTTATTCATCTATACCACTTACAGCTACAACAGAAATATTTTTTTCCCCAAACCATAAACTGTAACATATTTCTAACAGAGTTCCTAAGATCTGTGAAGGTGTTGTAAAATCATCAGTTTAATGTGAGAGGTGTCATGCTGTAGATCCCAGTTGGTTAAAGTTTTCCAGGATGAGTCTTTTTCTTCTTTTTCCCTCCGGTTTTCCTGCTGTCCTGTGTGGTCACTCTGTTTGACCACATCACTTCCTGGACAGGAGCTGGTTCTCCAGTTGCTCCAAACGGGCAGCCATAGAAGCTAGTGGATATTTTATTAAGGAGCAACAAATAAAGGAATGCTGCAGCTGCTGCTGTGTTATGGTGATTTGCAAAAGCCTTCATACTCCTTACACTTTTTCACAAATGTTGCTTATTTTTCCATTTGACTGAACGTTTCAAATCATAAATATATATAAAGAGTAACACTTGCATGCTAAAGATCTGTTGAATTATTTTGAAAGGATATGTTTTTGTGTGAACTGATCCAGGCTGTTCATGGTGGCCTGCTGGAACTCCACCAGGTTCTCACAGGCACATGGATCCTTTACTTCAACCTCCCCCTGACTCTCCGCTGCAGACAAAAAATATAAAAATAAAAATGTTGTTCTCACAAAGTTATTACATTCATTATTCATTTACATTTTTGAGATTTTGAAGTAAAGGTCAACAAGTCTGTCTGTTCAAATTTCAGACTTTATATCAACTTATATATGATTTATGGTGATTTTCTGTTGCCTTATATTTTAATGCAGTTTCCTGAGAAACTGCCATGTTATAAGTTTGCCAGTAGATGGCGACAAACAACAGGGCATCTTTTGTTATTGAGTCACAGTACTTCATCTGATGGGTGAATATTGATTAGTGCATAGTGAAATAAATAAAAGGTTGTTTTTTTTCCAATTCTTCAGTTGATAATATAAAAAGATTTATTGCCTAAATCTAATCAATGAAGAATGTTATGTAAAAAACACATAGAAAAAAAACAAGGGAAAATGATTGATTCTTGTTATTTATAATCTTTGCAATTTAAACTTCCTCCTCATGAGGATTTGTTTGTTTAGATCTTTTCCTTGGCCGTTTCTTTCTTTCTTTCTTTTTTTACCTGGGCACACATTAAGTTTGAGGTTGTCTGCGATGGTGTTGATGGCACTGAAATCTGTCGTGTAATAGAAATGTTTTTCCACAGGATCAGAGGCAATCTCACGCAGCTCATCTTCCACAGCTTTGCCCACACCAACAGCATACATGGTGATTCCTGCAAGCATACAGATAGACATTAGCTCAAAATGTATACTAAATGCTTTAAAATGTACAATGAATTTGAAAAATTAACATGAACTCATAACAGGCAGGAATTACATATTATAGAGTTTTTAAATGATTTTTTTCATCAGTAACTTTCAAAAACATAAACTGGGTGCACAAAACTTAATTCATTGAGAATTTTCCCCAGTCAAAATTATATGTACATATATGTGCAAATACATATGTATAGTAAATACACCCCGCCCCCCCTATTTGGTTAAATGTCACATGGCAAACAACATAACCATTAACAAGATTCTGGCAGAATTCAGGCTGGACATTTTAACCCACTTATTACATAAAATGGTGCATTTTATTTATAACAGTTGGCATGCTGACTGTTAAGAATAGCCTAAGCATTTTTTAACAGGGATGAGTCTGCCATTTCAGGAAAGGACCCTGCAGAGGATTAATGTTGGCCTGTCTGTGTGTCGTGCTGCGTGCCTGGAATCAATATCTTGTTGAAAGACCAAACTGTTTCAGAGTTTCAGTCATAGCTGTTGATTTAATACACAGATGTAGAATGTTAAGGTAGCACTTCTTCTGACGATGATGCTACCACTGAAGGCTTTCACAGATTCCCCTGCATTTAAAATATCATCTTCACTTTGAAAACACATCTCTTGTTGTGGTTGAATAGCTCCATCTTTGTTCATCTGATTATGAAACCTCTCTCCAGGAGGGATTTGACTTGTCCATGTAAATAGCTGCAGTAAAGCTTGAGAGTGTTCACTTTGGAGAAATTGTTTTTTCTTGGTTAGTGCTTTCTCTGTGGACACTGCTGTTCCAACAGGTTTTAGTTCATGGTTTAGTGGGTCCTATATGATCCCCGGTCATCCTAACCAATTTATTTAATTTGACAGTGGATAGTTTGGGTCATGTGGGTAAAACTTGGACACGGTTTGGTTTTCCAAAAGGGCAATGATCCCAAACAAACAATCTAGGTAGTTTTAGAGCCGATAAAACTGGCTAGCATGTTGCATGAAAACAAAGTTTTCAAACTTATTGTTTAAAGTACAAAAATGAGATTAATGACCATGATGAATGTCAACCTTTTATAGATAGAAAAAAAAACGAACTGGTACTGACCGGCTTCTTTAGCCTTTTTGGCGTATTCGCTGATGTCATCTTGGGATCGCCCGTCTGTGAAAACCAGTCCAATGCGGGGGATGTTGCGACTGGCTGGACGGGCGCCTTCTGCTTCTGAGAAGCTGTACTCCAGCATGTGTTTAAGTGCCAGACCTGTCATTGTTCCTTTTTCCATGTAGTCAACCTAGAAGAATAGATGTTGTAAAGCCATTAAACAATTCTGTTGTGATCATTTTGCCTCCGAGTGAAGCAGATTTTAGCACATAAGGATAATTTCACGTGTTTTATGCTACCTTCATGACTGCAGCTTTGATGTCTTCAGCAGTGTGGTACATGTTGAGTGGGAACTCTGTCCTGACCCGGCTGGAGTACTGAACCAGACCGACTCTGGTACCATGAGCAGACACGTCCAGAGAGTCGACAACCTGAAGGGTGTCAGGAAATAAGCAAGACATCAGCTGCTTCTTCCAGTTTTTATTTCTTTTGTTCACTCCTAAAATAAAATCCAACTCTACTGTAAGAATATTTTCTTGTACCGAGGGTGGAAAATACAAATACTAACCTAATATATTTATTACTAAGTTTTCTTTAAGTAAAATCAACATTTACATGATGCATTTGTCACAGTTTTGTGGTCTGTTGATCATGTTGTCAACACTGTAATACATCACAAATATGTCAGAAAAAACAACTACCTGATTGACAAACTTTTTGACGAGCTCAAAGTTTTGAGGGCGGACGCTCTTAGAGCCGTCGATCAGAAGCACCAGGTCGATGTTTGCAGACTTGCAAGCTGAAATAAATACAAACAACAGATGGGTTGTGTTTGCTCCATAAAGGAGAGGATGCTGATTCTGTTCTAATTGTCTATCTGTTAAAACATAAGATACAGATCCCTCCAAAAAGACAGTGGTAAGGAAATATTAATCCTGAAGACAAAAACACTACTACAATAGACAACATTTAGCACAGTATTAAAGTATTAAAGCAGTTTGAGCATAAAAACTAACTTAAAAGTACAGCATTTTTTAAATAATCATTATTTATAGTTATTTGAAACACCTTTCTTCATGTTAGAAAACATATTCCCCTTTAAAAAAAGATGACAGCTCCAACATTTAACTACCGTAGATTTTTTATTAATTTATTGAACGGTGTTTTTCAGATTAGAATCCATTTTGGTCTCGTAGTTTAAAAGTGGTCAGGTCCTGACCCTTGTTCTCCTTCCAGAGATAAAAACTTTTAAAGATAATCCTCTCAAGCATTGAGCTATTTTTTATTCAGACAGAGCTGAGCTGCTTTTCACATCAGTGCAGGTTCATCTTCAACATCTCATTTATCTTCATTTCACTTCCAAGAAATCCTAAATCTTCTATTCTTTATTTTCGCCAATAAATGTTGCTCCTATATAATGCCACCAATTCTTTTAAGGGACTTTTGTCGCTATTATCAATATCAATTCATCATAAAAATATATTTCAAAATCAAAACTTAATTTAGATGTCAGCAATGCCTTGGACTCAAGCCCAGCAGCTCCATCACTAAAACGTTATCCAATACAAGAATTGTTGTACTCTGTAGTTAAAAATGTATATTTCTGCATATATCAGTCCCTGTTTGTGTCATATTGATTGACATTGTGCATCACAACACAACAAATAATTCTGCTAATATTTAAAGAATTAAGATCAATGCAGTCACAAAAAAAAAATAACTTTTTTTTTTATCAACATGTAGCTTTAGTATTTCTATAAAGGATAGCAATGCTACAGCCCTGCAGCTAGGAGGAATGTATAGGTTAACTATAGTTGTACTGATGGCATTTGTTTTAATAAATAATAAATATATGTCATGGTTTTTCACATTTAAAATTAAATTTAAATAAATGTGGAATCTGTTAAAACATATTTAGTATGTTCTGACAAAATACATCTGATACAGTTTTTATTAATACTCTGTATTCATTTATGCTTTTTCTTCATAATGTTTGTAACTAATCAGGTCAGTATCTTATAGTGATACTGACCTGATTTCTTAAGCGTCTTATAATAAATCTCTATAGGTTCACTTTAAGTTCCCAGTGTGTGCCAGGCTGATTTATAAAAAACTTTCCATGTCTATCAATCATGTTTTTCTTTAAGGGTTGGACTTACTGCCGCATGTCTTGCCATCATCCTGAAGCAGTTGTCCTTCAGGACAGATACAGTGGTAAGATCCAGGGGTGTTTACACACTGGTAGTCACAGCCGTGCTTCACCGTGTTGCACATGTCCATGTCTAAAAAAGTACAAATTCATTAACTATTACTCAACAAAAGATGCTTAAAGAGACAAAACACATGCAGCATGTCATGCTGTGATAAATGATGAGACATTGACAATGAAATTCAAAGGTTATTGCAAATTAAGAAGATTTCTAAGCAATACAAATTTCTAAATTCAAAAATATTTCAACTAATAGTTATTGCAACACCAAATTGATCAAACCAAAGGACAATGTAATTGTTGTACTTTTCTTTCTCCCAGTAATCTTTGACTTGACAACAAACCCGCTGCTTTTGTTGCCCAGTCATTATTAAATTAGACATATTTCATAATAAAACATTGTTTTTCTACCAGTATTTTTTCACAAAGTTGTTTTTATTGCACAAAAGCAAAGCAATGCGTTTCCTGCTAGATGATCCTCCTGAGACACATTTCTCCCTCATCTTTTCTGGAAAAGGGCTGCCTCTTTCTCAGTCAGCACTTAATCATCTTATGTTTGGACTTTTATAACCTTACCTTATAAATATTTTTGATTGAATTAAAACCTGGACGTCTGGCAGGTGGAAGAATAACAACAACGCTTGCTGGCAGATTTTTCAGACAGGTGGGAGTTGTGCATAAATGATGTGTGACAACTCAACCTAATCTGGTGTGTTGGACGATGCCTAAACTGAATAATATATTGTATTACTATATTTCCTTGAATCAAAATGTCCTACTTTGATGTAAAGGTTTATAAGCTAACAAATACTGGATGTCCAATTCATCCAGTATTTTGAAGTCACTTCTGGCCATTAAAAGATCACAACAATGACACAAAATGTAATTTTAAGATCAGAGGTTAATAATGAATTTTTACATTCAGTTATATTGCATTTTGCTGACGAGTCTCTTTGTTGATCAACTGTACACACATTAAACAGAGAAGAGGTTTAATCAAGTTTTGAATGTCAATTTTCAGGCAATTAAGAAGATTTGACTTACAAACTGTAAATCAGTGCTGCTTAAAAGAGCAAAATATAAAATTATTCTACAAATGAGCTGGGAAAGATAAAGGCAGAGAAACAGTAGTGATGAATGGATTACATTTAATCAGCAACTGGCCTGCAGAGAAAGCAAATGAAAAAAAAACAAAAAAAAAAACAAACGGATTCACTGACTTGTGCAAGTCCTCTTGTCCCTGTTGAGTTTGAATCCTTTGTTACAATCACAGGTGAAGACGCCCGGGGTGCTGATGCAGATCTGTTCACAGTCATGTTTCCCCTCAGCACAGAGGTCAATGGCTAAAGCAACACAGACATGCACATAGATGTTTTTCCAAGTCAGAGTTAAAGTGCAACACATTATGAGTTTCTTTGTCAGCAAAACCAAGGACATGGTGACGGCCTTCTCAACAGAGTTCTGACTGCAGAACCATCTGTTGAGATTCTCCTAAAATACAAAATATATTGTGGCAATACAGCCTTATGATGTATATAATTTATTTCCTCTTTTGTTTAACTTTATTTATTTAACTAGAGCAGTGCCCATACGCAGCTAAATTTTATGTAGTCTTAAAGCAGGATCTCAAAACGTAGCACACATTCAGATTTACCCAACAAAGTATCTTGAAACACTCATAACAGTTTCATATTCAAAAGGTGACACGAATCAAATACAGGCTGATTTCATCTATCTAAAGCTAATAGGCATAAATATTGCATATTTAATAAAAAACCTGAGCAGCTCTTCTCATCCTCATTGAGCCTGTATCCCTTTTTGCAGTCGCAGGTGAAGATGCCCGGGCCCATGTTCACACAGACGTGGTCACAGTCATGTTTTCCCTCAGCACAAAGGTCAATGGCTAAAATTAGACACAATAATTAGTTTCAAGCTGTTAATTGGTACATTTTTATAAACAAATACATATAACTCTGTTGCCTATTTTAAAAAAATAGCTTTGTATAATTAAATATAGCAAGAAGCATTAAGACCAACAGTATTAATAAGATTTAACAGAAAAAGCAAATGAAGAGGATAAAGGGGAGGATAGGTATTTTTAGTCTTTTTCTTGTTTAGTGAATGGTAAAGTATCTATTAAACAAGAAAGAATAGACCTGTAGTTAGTGATGTAAAGAGTTTTCTACCAAGATGGTGAAATTAATCTTATGATTACATTTAGAAAAACGTGGTTTGACTATTAAATGGAAATATGGAAAAGTTCATGTTCAATAAAACCCTCTTTTAGTTTTTGTAGTCTGTTGTCTGGGATGTTGCCAATCATTCTAACCACTAAAATGATTGACAAACTTGTATCAAAGCTTGGTCTACTGATCATATCTATGCTTTTATCACATTGCCCATTTTTCTGTTCTAGTAAAAATGCTAAGAACAATTATATGGTTTAATGACTAGTAACATTTTGGTTGGTATTTTTTTCAGACATTGACAGTTTTATGTTTTAGATCATCTATTTTGTGCATTTTTTAAATGTTAGATTGAGCAACATACTGGATAGTATACTTATATCTAAATATTTAATCTGATGTGTGTAGGTGATAGGAGGATCGAGGATGTAAGGCCAATTAGATCCAACATATTTAAAGACTAGTGAGATAGCTGATTTTGACCAATTTAACAAACATGAAATACTGAACCTTGCAACAACAGTATATATTTTATATTTTACAAAAAAATTAAAGAAAAATAATTAACTCCAACTTTGCTGTTAGATAGGTATAATACCCATTATCCTTGGATTTGTGTAAATATGAACATATGGCTATGTGTGTATTTTTGTGGGGGCCCGACTAACGTGTGCAGGTCTTCTTGTCCCCGTTGAGTCTGTATCCCTCGTTGCAGTCGCAGGTGAAGATGCCGGGCCCCGAGTAGACACAGACTTGTTCACAGCCATGTTTTCCCTCAGCGCACAGGTCAATGGCTAAATTACACACATTAATTTAGTTAAATTCCCAATCTATATTTCCATAAAGTTTCTGACAAAGTCATCAGACATTTCTTACTCAAAACATGACATTTGTATTTGTACAGTTTCTCTTTTCTTCTGAAGAAGCATCATGATAACAAGACATAAGACAAGACAAGAAAGAAAGAGGATAATTTATCCACGGTTGCTATATGAAGGTCAGGACTTGATATATGTAAAATCCAATAATGAACCAGGAAAGAAAAAAAAACATAAAACTAATTAGAGCAATAAAATGTCAAAGAAGAAAAGCAAATAAAAACGCTTGTTGAATGTTTTTTTTGTTAGTTTTCAAGCAAATGACAGCAGGAAAAACTAGACTATAAAGTTAGTAAAGTGAAGCATTTTTAATCGAGGACTATTTTGAAGATTGTAACATTAACTTAAAGCTTACTTTTAAAATGTCTCATACAATTTTTGTCGTTTTTAGCACAATGATTCATGTTATACCAAAGCCAGTGGACCCGAATCCTTATCCTCAGGATCAACTGTCTGATATGTTCTGGATATGGCTGGTTTTTTTTTTGTTGTTGTTGTTGTTGTTGTTTTAAAGAATAGGTCATAAATACATTTCTGCAGTGCTTGATGGCATGCTAAGATGGTCATGTAAATATTTGAGAAAGCACTTATTAAAAACATGCAGGGCAGTGGGTCCCAAGGACCAGGGCTTGGGACAACTGATTTTGTTATTTAGGCAGATAGTATAACAAATTGCATAGTGAAAAATGTAGAATTTTTAGTACTATAAATCCAACTAATTTCTCACACTATAAACTAACATTACTGAAAATTACTTAATAGTATTAAATGATACTTGAAAAGTTGTGTTTTCAACTTCAAAATAAGTATCACATCATCTGCATAAAGTATTACTTTTGTTGAGATTAGTAAATTAGTTAAATCATTATGATTACTATTAGGTGTTGAGATGCTTTACCAAGGCCGAGAAAGAGTCACACGCTGTTAGACAAAGGGCCCATAGTAAAGAGTTACATTTTTGATTCTGTTAGACACCAAGGTCCATTTCTCACGAGAAACAGAAACTTATCAGGCCACAGAGGCATGGTATGATTTCAGGGAGTGTCTTCCGTCCATATAATCAGCTGCCCTCCTCTTTTTCCTCAGACGCTGCACAGACTTTTTTAGAAACTCTTCTCGGATGTAATGGTAAAGTGTCTCCTTTCAGCGCTGAAAGTTAATAAAATAAGTAAAGTCTGAATGCTTTTCTTGGCTGATTTTATGCTCCGTGTGTCAATACAAATTATGATTCATCGATTGAGATTCCCAATCTCAACACTTTGTATTTACTTGCACTGTCATTTAGACAGTGTTAATTGTACCTGCACAGAATTTTATAAGGTAAAGTTTAGTCATCTCATTTGATTAGCAGTAAGTAAGTAAGTAAGTAATATATAGTGATATTGATGTAACCTTTTATACAAATACTAAGTGATTTTTGAGTTTTAGAAAAAAAAGAGAGTTTCGCAAAGAGAATGTTCAAATAAATGTTTAAACAAATACATAAATATGATAATAAATTACATTTTTAGTCCATATGCACCACAAACGTATGGATTAAAAACAGAGACATGATGTGTGCTAACCATCCTAACAAACCTTTTCATTTTTGCACAAAAATCTTGGAAGCAGCAAAAAATATTTTATACTTTCCTAAGAAATAATCGAAAGAGGAAAGAAACTGTCATTTTTGTAAGACATATTCAACAGAAGGAATGACGCATAGATCTCTCTATGTAGATATGTCTGTACATGTGTGTATTTCTGTGATGGCCTGACTAACGTGAGCAGGTCTTCTCGTCCACGTTGAGTCTGTATCCCTCGTTGCAGTCGCAGGTGAAGACGCCCGGTCCCATGTAGACACAGACTTGTTCACAGCCATGTTTTCCCTCAGCGCACAGGTCAATGGCTAAATTGCACACATTTATTGAGTTAAACTTGTTAATCATTAAGCATTCCTTAAACATTTTCAAACTACTTGGAAATGTTTCCACAGTTCCAACAAGTAAAAAGAATGTTTCCCATGTGGGCATTTTTAACTTTCAAATAATCCCTGTATTTAAGTAAAAGTTAGATTAGTAGATTTAGTAAGCAACCATTTGGAAGACCTCAAAAGCTCTCAGTCCTTGGAAAAGTATTCCCACAAATTATCCCAATATCATGGATTGTAATATTTTGGAAGTATTTAATTAATAAATAATTCTGGATCACTTCTTCGAGAAAATGCAAAAATTGTGTTTCTAAATAAATATTAGCTGGAACAATAAATGTTGTCAGATACTAAATGTTACGTCTAAAAGCTTTCCTGATCAAAGTTTCAGCCATTAGAGTCAAATATGAAGTCTGTGTAGTAGCCTGAGAGTAGACTTTAAATTTTACTTCAGGACAATAAGGGCAGAAGCATCTTCAACCTTATCAGATTTAAATAATGTAGGTAATTGTCAGATTTGTGTAATTCTACAAATGTCTGTATAAGTATGTATTTTTGTGAGAAACACAAAACTGACTAACGTGAGCAGGTCTTCTCATCCCCGTTGAGTCTGTATCCCTCGTTGCAGTCGCAGGAGAAGACGCCCGGTCCCATGTAGACACAGGCTTGTTGACAGTCATCTTTTTCCTCAGCGCACAGGTCAATGGCTAAATTATACACAATAATTGAGTTATCTTGTTGGTTTTAAAACACAACCAAAATGAAATAAATATAACTGTCTTGCACCTTTTAAAGTAAAAAATATAAAGTCAAAACTCTAATCGGTTTAGTCAGCAAGACACATCTCCAATTTTGCCTATAAAATGAGGGGAGGTTGACTTTTTTTACACAGAGTTTTTCCAATTTAATTGATTGTTTTCATAAATAATAACAGTATGAAATGTATTAGCTGGGTTGATTGTATTGTATAGGTTAAAATCTGTGGCTCGACTAACGTGTGCAGGTCTTCTTGTCCCCATTGAGTCTGTATCCCTTGTTGCAGTCGCAGGTGAAGACGCCGGGCCCCGAGTAGACACAGACTTGTTGACAGTCATGTTTTTCCTCAGCGCACAAGTCAATGGCTAAATAACAAACATTCAGTCAATTAAAATTGTTTTTCTGCAGCTTTCTTATCAGCCTTCACAAATGATTTTTATGAAATAATTTATAAATTACTTGCTGAATCTAATAAGTAATATGTGGTATATATAAGCTGTTTTCTCATTTGGCAGTTTAATAATTCATGTTTTCAAACTGAAGCAAAAAAATGTCCATCTTATTTGCAAGACAGGTCATTTACATAAGCTTGCATCAAGATATAGATCCCAGTGTCTAATTTTTGTTGAGTTGATAACAGTATAAGATTGACTATTTCATTACTACTTAATCCCTTAAATAAAGCTTATCTCACCAGGCGTCATAGGATTTTCTATACTTAAATAAGATATTTGCATTTTTCCTTAAAAAATAAATGTTTACAACTGCATGTGACATGTTTTCAGATAAAATAAGTGTGATGTCTTTAAACTCTCTTGCAGAACATTCCAACAATTACAGTGACGTGTGGAAGCTGTTCAGTGGTTATAGTTTTGGTTTCAAAATTAGAAGTGGGCAAAAAGTTTAACTTTGTTGTTGAGTCCTTTATCCCTAGATATGTCTGTCTGTAAAAGTGTGAGCAGGTGTATTTTTGTGATAGCCGGACTAACGTGAGCAGGCCTTCTCGTCCACGTTGAGTCTGTATCCCTCGTTGCAGTCGCAGGTGAAGATGCCGGGTCCCGAGTAGACACAGACTTGTTCACAGTCATGTTTTCCCTCAGCGCACAGGTCAATGGCTAAATTGTAAACATTTAAGTTAGATGTACCATTTATGTAACCATTTATTTCTAAAACCTTTAGCAATTGCAGAGAAATTTACTCTCAAACAATATAAAAGTAATATAGTTTGCAGTCTCGCACATTATAGCTACAGTGAGGGTATGTAAAGGAGCTCTTCTAAATATTCAGGTTTTTATGTCTTTGTTAGAAAGTGGTATTTATTAATTATTATCTGGATGAGTCATCCACTGAATTTGATTTTCTAAAGCTATGGCGAAAAACAGTTGCACTCATATTGTACCAGGATTCAACTGTCTTTAGATAGTAAAAAATAAAAATAAAAAAAATGACACTAACTTCAATCTGTTGATTTTATGTGTGCATATTTACATATCTTTATATATGAGGATTGTTTAGAAACACTGACTAACGTGCACAGGTCTTCTCGTCCACATTGAGTCTGTATCCCTCGTTGCAGTCGCAGGTGAAGACGCCCGGTCCCATGTAGACACAGACTTGTTGACAGTCATGTTTTCCCTCAGCGCACAGGTCAATGGCTAAATTACACACATTTATTGAGTTAATTTGGTCCTGTATTAAATCTTTTTTTTACTGAAAACACACTGTGAGAACAGGCCTCAAACATGGTAAAATACATGTAATCATCTGTTTCACATATGCAATCACCAGTAACCTCTAAATAGCCCCTGTACTCCTGTTGTTATAAATCAGAATAGTTGACAATCTGTCATTAAAACACATTTTTTCTGTTAACAATAATTACATGGTTCTGAGTCTTTGAAGATCTGTGTGTTACCAAAAGGTCTTAAATTGTCTTTTTTTTTCTTTTTTTTTGTCTAAATTATCCTGAGATCCAGGTGTTGTTTGCCTCGCTGCATCTATAAACGAGTGCATGTGAACAGGACGTGCACATAAACAAAAACACCACTAGATGGGCATGTCTGAGTTTTATAGCCGTTAAAACATTCTGTATTTGCTGTTCAAAAGGTTCATATTGGTTTCAGATTGAATTGTTGTTTAAAGGAGGTACATATTTTCAAAAGTGATGACTGTCAGTGCCATGATGGTTGTGACATGAGTGTGAGAGTAAACCCGATGCAAATACACTGGGTTTCTTGTTTACAGTATATTGTGTTGTGCCAAGAAAATAAATATAATAATGAAAAGTTGTTTGCTAACTTTTGTGGAGTGGTGGAAATATATTAGGAACACAAACAAATGCTTTTGGAAATGGCAGCTGTGCAGTGTTAATTGTCATCATTTAACCTCACTTCATCAGATTAAAAGGACAGGGCAAGCGCTGCTACAGCCTAGTTTGCATCAAGTTATAGCAAGAAGCAAGAGAAATTCAGCAAAGCATTTATGATTTGCATGAAGCCAGCCAGAAAATGAATATTTCAGCATTTGATTTAGAGATTTAAATCCATTTGATGTTGCAAACTGCATGGCTAATTACAAACAAAATCCAGGTTTGGCTTAAATGGAACTGCCGTATTTTCCGCACAATAAGGCGCACCTTATAGAATAGACGCTACAGTAGATAGAGGCTGGAGTTACGCTATGCATCCACTAGATGTAGCTCCACTAAAGGGAATGTCAACAAAACAGTCCGACTCCGGTGGGCGAGGAGAGCCTTCCGCAACTGGGCCGGGGCGTGGCCGGACGATGGTCACCCTTCTCAGTCCGCGCACAGCATGTTCATGGAGAACGTGGTGCTAAATGACCTGCAGACGACCTGATTCTAGATAGGTCAGTCAAACTTTATTAACAAATCAGCGTTCTGACAACTATCCCAGCATGCACCGCGCGCTTCTTATTCTACGGGCGAAAATGAAGTCGGCGGCTGCTTACCGTAGGTGCCAGACCTGTTGTAGCTCAATATTGATCCATATATAAGGCATACCGGATTGTAAGGCGCACTGTCGGCTTTTGAGGAAATTGAAGGTTTTTAGGTGCGCCTTATAGTGTGGAAAATACGGTACTCTATTTATTGTCACATTAGTGACTAATATTGCTAACTTCAAAGCTAAGTCAACTAACAAGAAAGTTCTCCAGGAGCCTATATAATCTTTTATGGTAAAGTAATATTGCAAGTATTCATAAAATAATCACAGCTGTGGCTGCCAGATGAACTCAAATCCTTTTTTATAGTTCAATTTATAGATTACTCAAACAAGTAAAACTATCCAGCTGAACAAAACATTTTTTTAGCATTTTTTAGAAAATAAACCAATTTTCCATTTCAATAAAAAAATTGTTTGACATGAATTCATGCAAACAAAATCTTGATTATTGTAAAAATAGCAATTTATTTTGCATGTGTCAAACTGGAACATGTAAAGACAGTGAGGTTTGTGTGAGTGTGTGAGACTGACGTGAGCATGTCTTCTTGTCGTCATTCAGGTGGTAGCCTTGGTTACAGTCACAGGTGAAGGAGCCAGGTGAGCTGATGCAGATCTGTTGGCAGTCATGCTTTCGTTCAGCACACAGATCAATGGCTGAGAAACACATGAAAACAAACAGAAACATAATGACATTTTAAAAAAATCATGGATTAAGTGTAAAAGTTAGACATTTATCAGATCTTTTAGCAGAATAGCCAGTTGTACTTTCTCCAATGAATGATATTTGTTTCGCTTCTAAAGTACTTGCATATGTTACTTAGTATGCATTTATTCCACAGTTGCAATCTGATCTAAAATATTCTATCTTGATCTGTAAAAACAAATGTGAAGCTTGCTCGGTAATATTTTTACCTGAGCATGTCTTCCCATCAGCATTGAGCCTGTATCCAGGCAGGCATTGGCAGGTGAAGGATCCTGGGGAGCTTTCACAGAGATGCTCACAGCCGTGGTCAGACTCCAGACACAGATCAATACCTGCAGCATAGTTCAGGCCAAAGTCATGACAACAACTGAACTATTTGCTTTGCAATGCAGTCTAAAACATGTGTCCAATACAAACTCTAGTGATGACATTAGCATGCATATCAAATTCTGTAATTCTGACACTTTATTAGTTGAACTGTTGCAGTCACCGTTACAAAAGTCTCCAATAATGCTGATAAAATAATACTATTACAATAACTTTTCTACAGGTACATTGAGCACCTAATCAGCTTCACTCCACCCTTTGTTATATATTTTTGATGAAATCCCTGATCTATTCAAATGAATTGTTTCCAGGTTTCTTCCATTTAGTAAAACTGCAATATATTTTCAGAGTAACCGTTCTGTTCAGAAAAGCTGATGGAAGTGGAAATATGAAGGGAAACATATAGTCTGGTATGAAAGATATTAAAACATTTAGCAGAGAGATGGGAATTTTTTTTTATCTTCAGGGTAAACATTTATTGTTTGTCGATTCCATAAAGAAAGGTTATTTTGGCCCAGCTGAATCCAGCTGCAAGACATTTTCACAATAGTTGGCTACAAGATAACTTCAAAAAACTGCAATCCATTTGTTGAATTAAATGTGAAGGCCAGACTCAGATGGGACTTTTTATAAAAACATGATCTGAAATCCAGGAAAAGTGACTTTCCAGAGTTCAGGTAATTTATGAGCTTCAAATGGTACTCAAAACTGTTCCGAGTCAGAGTTTTACATTCCAGCAGAAAAGTTTATGCTAAGTATTGAAATAATAGGAAAAGATAAAGTATCAAACCTAAGTTGGTCAAGAGCAGTTTAATGAACATTTTCTTGAAACTTCACATTTGTGCGATGGTTTTTGTTCTGCAGTCTTACCACAGAGCTTGTCCTGGAACTGCAGGCCAAACTGGTAGATAAGGTCAAACCTCTCCACCAGGAACACATGGTCTTCGAAGGGCGGCGAGGCCATGGCTCTTAGTGACGTCATATCGGCTCTGGCCACTCCCACTGCATAGATCTCAATGCCTCTTTCTCTGGCCTCAGCCGCCACCTCCGCCACACGGTCCTGAGGACGTCCATCTGTCACAATCACAGCCACGTTGGGGACCTAACAAGAAAGAAAATCATTAGCTTGCTACCGGTGTATTGACTATTAGTGAGCTCTCCTTTGCTAAAAGCATGTTCTCTTACATCACAGATCTTATATTGCTAAATTTAGATAACATTTTTATGCCTTCCATACCAAAAATATTGATGAACTCCACTAAGTTTAGTCAAAAAATGAAGATTAAGATTTTTGGACCTCATTTGTATCAGTTGCGAAGGTCTTCAAAAAAAAAATCAGCCTGTCAAATAAATAGGAACAAATTGACTTCAGGCAGCAGTTTGTATACCTTTGGCCTGTCTCCCTGTCCGGGACTGAAAGCTTCATTCATTAAGTATCTGATGGCGAGGCCCGTCATGGTGCCCTGAGCCAGTGGAACGATCTCATTGATGGCTTTCACCATGTTTTCCAGCTTGCTGTGGGTCTTGAGGGAGAACTCACTGCGGACCTGAGCACAAAGAAGGTGACTGTCGACAGCAACATAAGCAAACTGTTCATCATTTCCATAATTCTTCTGAAAGAAATTCTACAAATTAAATAAACTACCAGAGAAAATATGTGTTCTCTATGAAAAAATAACTGGAAATGGTTTGGATGGTGACTGCAAAAAGTACCTGGCTGGAGTACTGAACAACTCCCACTCTTGTGGTGTCTAGTCCAATGTCCAGGGTGTTCAGGATGTCGATCAAGAACTTCCTCATCGTCTCAAACTCATGTGGTCTTACGCTGCGGGAGCTGTCGATGAGGAAGACTAGATCCACCGGGCCAGACTTACATTTCTGATTAGGACCTGAGACAAGGGTCACAAGAAAACACTGTTAAGATAGTAGAACAAATGTCTTGAACTGGAAAGCAGGAAATATGTGAGTACTCTTATTCTATGTGAGCACCTGAACATTTTGACCTTTTATCTCCAGAGTCACTCTCCTGCCCACTTCTGCCAGCCTGAGTTTATGAGCAACAGGGCTTTGATATTAAGAAAACAAATAGCCACACTATAATAATTGAAAGTTACAATGAGGATACTGTAAATAACTCATACATTCTCCACTCTTCTCCTTATTTTATAATGATCAGATTCATGTGAGCTTTTTGAACTGGAATCTGTTATTTTGTTTTTTGACACTGATTGATTGCTCCTGGATTTCCAGTTTCTTCAACAATTTGTCTCATACTGTTTAAATAGTTAAATCATATTGATTTGATTTGTGATTTGCAATAAGACTCTTTTAAAGTAGCTGCTGTTTGCAACACCAGTAATTCATTATAAGACTTACTTCCAAACTAAACTTTGCTCCACACAGTTTGAGTCAGGTTGTATAAAACAACAGATGACTTTCAGACCAGGCAGCATTGGGAAGTGAGTCTTATACTTAACACTTACAACACCTAACCTCACTTTTCCATGGCTCCAGCTCTCACTGGGCGTCTGTTTTCATCTTTGACTCACTTTCATGTTGTAACATCATCATGGTTCAAACACACTGCAGCCATGAATGAGTTTTTGATGAGCCTGTGTTTTCGTAGCCGATTTATAAGCTAGAATGGGACTTTTTGATTAATGTACATCCAGAGTTTCAGCCCATGAGCTGAGCTTATGCTGGAAATAATAACCAGAGACACAGCGGTCAGTGTAGGAAGCCATGTGGGACTCAAGGAATCCTTCTTTAGTTTCGGACAGACGTGAGCAATGAAAAGTGTTTAAGCACCTCTATGAGTCTATTGTCTGGCCATGAACATGAAGTGAATACCAGATGGAATATGAATTGACTGTTTAAAAGTCATTTTCATGTAAATCATGAGTCCCATTAAGATTATTTGATCCCACTGTGAGTAACAAAAATGTCAAAAAATTAAAGATGACATCCACTTGATGTTTACAACCTAATATTTTCTCCTGATAAAGGCAGACTGACCTGATTTTGGTCTGGCGGAGGTGAAGACGGCAAGAGTCAGAACAATGAAGACACTCAGTCCTCTGAGGTTTCCCATCTTCACTCTGAAGGTCACAGTTTTGCAGAAAGTTCACCTACAGCTGCAGCTGGTTCTACTGGAGAAGAACCAAAATGTAAAGATGAGAGTTGGTGGGTCAGTCAGAGGGAAGGCAGACAGACAGATGCAGGAGCCAAAGTTTAAGATGCGTCGTAAGCAGTCATTGTGAAATGTCAAAGAAACTTTAAAAGGTTCAGATCAAACATACCTGAATTAATGATCTAGGTTAAATACAATGCCAATGTTCGCAGTAATTTCTAGGAGATTACTACAACAACTACTACTAGTGCTACTACTACTACTGTTACACTACTACTGCTACTACTAATAATAATAATAATGTTTAACTTCAATATCCGGTGTGTTAAGAATGAAGCTGTAACTACCTGCTTAAAACTTAATACAAAGACTGATAGACAGTCAACATCAGAAGAAAAATCAATCTATCGTTCATCTCAGGAAAAACATAATTTCAAAAGTAACAATGTTTTTCTAAGCTTATTTCTCAGTTTGCAGAGAGCCAGTTATAAATATCAACTACAGAGAGCCTAGAAAGAAACTCTTTTTAAAAAGACCAAAGCCAAGGAAAAATACAGGCCAAAGACAGATTTTTAGAGTGGCACTAAAAATGAGATGTGATAGTTTTTCAGATTTACTGATGTTTTGTTGTACTCACAGAAACACACAAAACATGCGCACAAACAGAAGAGTTAAAGCTGATGAGTACAATAGACATTACTCTTTAAGATGAGAGAGCCTGCCTAATCTCTAGAGGAGCTGCTGCCTAAATCCAGCAATCGCCTGAGCGATAGACAGAGTACAGCCTGGACAGATCATCTGTCCGTCACAGAGAAACATGACGCATTATATAGAACCATACAGACACTCACACCTAAAATCAATTAGCATCGGTCAATCAAACATACATACTCTGAATGTGGGAGAAGGCCAGAGTTTACTCACAGAACACCCAGAACATTTCTCACACACTTGAATCATTTTTATGACTTTCTTTCAGCTGTGTTCCCAACAGATTCACCCACATTTATTAACTTTCTGCCACAATCTTTCATTTGCAACATCTACTTATATTTGAGATCACATATTTTTTTTGCCAAATTCTTGATAAAACGGCATGATTTATCGATTCTTCTGTATAACCGGTGTGGCTTTCACATTTAAAAAGCACTTTATTTCCTTGACTGATTATCATACAGCCATGCATTATTTGAAGATATTATCCTGTTCTGCCTCATTTCATTTGTTGGTGCCGAACGCAGTGATTAGAAAGGAAAAAAGATTCCTGCAGAATTCCCCCCTTTGTGTTCCTAATGGCTCTGGCAGGCTTGTGTTGCAGTGGGACATTCCAGTCCGGCCCTATCATAAACCACTTGGCTGGAAACACCTGGTGAAGGTGCACAGCAGTTCCTGCTAATAGAAGGCTGTGGAGGAACACACACAAGTGCCTGGCCTGCCTGTGTGTCTGTCAGTAGCCCTGTAGGCTATCAGCTCGGCAGCAAAGGGGTAACGATAATGTCTGGAATGTGTTTATGTTCATGGAACCTGGTCAACTCAAACAGGCAGCATGAAAGCCACCTCTCTGTTTTTAGGTCCACAGAGACCATCCTGTGGGAGTTAATCTCTTTCAGACGGGTAGACAGAAACTGGAGTCATCCTGAGCTCAGATCAGAGTCATGAGTCAACAGATGAAGCCAAGCACAAAGGAACGTTTCTCTGCTTTTTGTCTCGTCTTTCTCTGAAGCATCTGTTCTTCCTCTCTGTGCCTACTTTCTCTCTCCTCTCCTTCAGTCTTGTCATTATTTTTTAGTTTTACAGGAGCATCTCTGTGGTTAATGGAAGGCCAGCCAAACATCTGGAGTCCATTCCTTATGCTTTTACATATATGTTGCAACAGAGCCAGGTCAATGGCTGCATCTTCCATAACGGGAAGACAGAATTAGATTTTAAAGCCAGAAAATATAAAAGTTTTTTTAAACACAAACTTCCTGTTGTTTTCAAGCCTGATAAGTAACTTCAAAACACTGACACAAAATTGCCCTTTTGATTCACCCCTTGTAAAAGTGAAACAATAAAATATAGAGACGATGCCACAGCATCTGCAGCATTGATGGTACATTTTGTAGTTTCTGTTTTCTTGACAAAAAAAAAGCCTTAGTAACCTTGAATATGTTGAATATGCTACGACACTGAAAACACACAAGAACAATGTCTCTACTGAGACCCTTTTAACTCAAAATTTAAGAAATATCTGGAATCTTAAAGCTGGGGGATGAGGACATAATACTGTCATACCATGATTATGATATTGATTCAACAGCCAGACCAATAAAACAGCTGCTAGTGTTGTTTCTTGTGAACCAGCAGTTACCAAAAACATCCACTATGTGGCAGCCTTGTAAAGCTCAACACATAATCAGCATCCAACATCAGGTAGTGTGTTTGTGAGCAGCTGATCTTAACAATTAGCTAGAAGCTAATTTGACCACAGTTTAATAGTCAAAAGAGAAAAAAAAATCTGCAGCAGGATGAATCTGAATGTGCAAGAAATAAAAAATCCCAAAAATTACTAACACCTGTCCTCCTGCTTCTTAAGTTTACAATATGAAAAAAACATAAATAAATGAATAGTCTCTGGTTTCTCTCTGAGTGAAACTTTTGGTCCAAACATTATTTTGCATGTAATAAAAACAGGCTGCAAACTGGAATGTAGATGTTAGAAATGCTGCCCATAAGAAGAAGTTCCTGAGAGGGAGGGAGGGAGGGAAGGATGGATGGATGGATGGATGGAGGGATGGATGGATGGATGGATGGATGGAGGGATGGAGGGATGGATGGAACCACTGCATTTGTTTTTTCATGCTGCTGCTTTTGACAGTATTTACTAGGATTTTAGTGGCAGGTAGATGATCACAGCCGCTGACTGCTGAAGCTGGATTTATTAATGAAAAGTTAGCTTGTGACTTTGTGAAATTATTAGACACTATTAGACAGGAACCAGTATGGATATTAGAAAAAGAAAGCTCATATTTTATGCTGTATTATATTTATCAAATGAGTCGCTAATGAGACGGCTTGAGGCTGTGTAACCATGAATTGTGTGTGTGTGTTTTAAACAAAGACTCCTCAGTCTAACTTTCTGTGGAGAAGTGCCCCTTACCCACCGCCCCTCCTCCTCCTCCTGAGTCGTCCTCTCACCATCACCAAACAATGGCCCACTACAATCCTGCTGCTGCTGCTGCTCAGCACCACTGACACTCAAGCACACACATCTCCACTGCCTCCCACAGGCCAGCATATGTTCTATAAGTATCCACAAAGAAGATCATTCAGCCCATATTTTCTCTTTAAACATCTTATTAACTGGCCAGGGTGAAAGCTGCAAACAGTGTTGACAGTCAGTTATCAGTGCGGCTTTTACTGGGATCCTATTTCCTTTCATTAACACTTTACATAAATCACAACTGTTTGCCTCCTTACGTTCTTCAAAAATATAGCAGGCTGTGCAATTACTGAACATTTGAAAGTTGAAATAAACTGAAAAGAAAAATGTACTTAAGAGTTTAAAATCAAAGCAAACGGCAGTTAAATGTTTGTGAGGCAGTTTGATGCCACATACTGCAGCGCCAACCAGCCGTTACGTTTATAGATCTACTTCTGAAGAATAGTGGGGCCCAAGTTGGCATTGGCATACGCCGGCATGCAAGAGAGATTACAACAGATGAAACATGAACTGTATTTTTGGCAGTAAAAACACAACGTTCTCTTTGTGCCAGTCTATTTGCTCTTAAATACATGCAGTTTGGCTTTGAAACATTTATTTTAATGTTTTTTTTAGGCTTTTCCATTTCATTAATACATGTGTCAAACTTCTCTGCATGTACACAGTAGAACTGTTTTAGATTACTTTTCAGAGATGCTTGACCGCAGAAAACTTTTCAGTAAACTCTTTTGGAGTTACAGACATTGCTGAACTCTGAAAAGTGTATTGTACATTTTTGTCTTACAGATAAGACTGTTGATGTGATTTATTGACTAGTCAGACCAAATCTTGGTATAATTATACATGTGCAGACACTGTTCTCTGTTATACACAGTGTAGGAAGCCTCTGTTAGGAAATACACTCATAAACAGAAGAGGTGAATGACTCTGAAACTGGTATCTCATATTTTAGCCTCTGAAATTAAAGGGCTATTGCACAGTACAGTTTTTGCTGTTCTAGACTTGATAAGTAGCAATACAATTGCAGGCCATTTGCTATTTAACCACTTTATCCCATCTGCCAATTGCTTGGTTTAACTTTAATCAAACACACAAATCTTTACTTACTTGAATATCAGAAAAGAGAGCATAAACACTCAAATCTGTGAGCTAAGCAAGTGGATAGATTTTACAGATTTCCCAAAAATATTTCCCTCATGTCCACTCAAACTATACAACCACTGCGTGAAACAAACTCTGAGCTGACCCCAACTTCAGTTTGACTCTCCTGCAGATTAAGTTGTACGAACAAGATGCTGGTCCATGTCTGATGTAACTGGGTTGTAACTTACTCTTCTTCTGGCATGCTTTACAGATTGCTGATTTAGTAGTGAATTTTGAATCCAACAGGGTTTTAGAGGAGCACATTTAATTCTTTTCCATGTTACTTATATGAGACCTTTACCTAAATGTAAAGTCCCGCACCTTTTGTCTTTAAATCTGAGGTGTTTCTCTGGTATCTCTTTACGCAAATAAAGTAAAAAACTTTTACAGATAACTCAGGATTGCAGTAAATAATGCAAGTGTGCTTTTTCACACAAAGATTGTTATTTTGAGTTCAAATTGTTGCTAACTAAAAAAAAAGAGTAGCTGCTAAACACTCTAAAGTGTTTAGCAGCTGGAGACACTGCAGGAGATGTCTCACTTTAAGATGAATGTAAACACACCATCGCAAAGGAAGCAAACTTATCACGTGTGTCACCTCTGTGGATATAAGTAGTATGGCAGACCTGCTGCAGAGAGTGTTGTTTCAAATCCATAAGGATGGTTTTACAGTTTCATCCTGCTGCCATGTCCAAGACCACATAAGCAGAGAAGTATCACAATTAAGAACTAAATGCTTAAACATAACTCTGTGCATAAGTGTTTGACTTGGTGAAATTAGTTCCTGATAATAATGAATGAACTTTCTAATAATATGATGGTAATTATAATTTCATCCTGCAGATAGATATGAATTAGATTATGCTATAACCTGGTGCAGCATATAAAATAGGTTTGAGCTGCATGCAAACTGTCCCTTTTTAAACAAAGTTTACAGTTTACTATTGTTATTTCTTTAAATGGATCTGTATGCAGTACTTCAAAAATAAAGAATGTTACAGAGTTGGATAGAAAGATTAGCTCCAGGATAGACTTTTCCTGTTGTCCCGTCTACGGCCAGGTTTTAGATAAGATAAGCAACTTTTTTTGTACCCATTTCTTTTCTGTTTGTTTGACATTTTTCCATTCAAAAACTTGTAAAAGCAACACTTTTCTTCAGTATAAAACAATCACTTTCTCACAATAAAATGCCTTAAAGTTATGTATTGTACATTAGACTGACTTAATAACTATAAAAAAACTGAATATCCTATTTGTGAAAAATGTAGTCTTCAAATATGTGTGTTTGTTAAAGAGAAAGGTGTGTGTGAGAAAGAAGCAGTTCTGGAACAGGTGATTATCTCTGTAGGTATACAGACTGAACCACACACACACACACCACACACTTCTTACACACTGAAACTAGATAATAAGCTCATAAAGCAGAGCAAACAGAAACACACTCTCACATTTGTTTTCCATCAAAGCTCCTGTTACTGTAGACTGAACTAAGATACCATCACATGGATCAGTTCATGGTCAGATGGACATTTTGCAGAAAGTAATTAATGCAGTTCTTCACACAGTGAGGATGGAATGTCGCTGCAGTGTTTGGGAATTCTGGAATTAGAGGAAATTAATCTTTGGCACTAGAAACTTGTTCACTTTAAATCAAAAGAATAGCTCTTGAACCAAGAAGCGGAAGAACATCTTTCCTCCTCACCAGACAGTAAGAGCCATGACCTGATTTTGCTTGGCTGCAAATGAGTGCAAAGAATGATTGATTCTCGTATGCATTATCTTTGGATGGACACTTTCTTTTTTCCTTTTAATAATTACAGAGGATGTGTGTTTTGTACATATAGAAGGATTAACAAATATTAGATTTCAGCAGACCATCAAACTGGAACCTAAAGCTAAGTTAAGTCAACAGCTGCATGAGTCAAATTACAAAGCCGTTGGACCTGGTGTAGCACAGAGGAGGCATTATTTTTCTGCCAGAATAAAACTTGGCCTGGCATACATATGCCTGTCCAACTAAATATTGATATTTATGACCATCTCATAAACAACTGGGTCTTGTACAGTTGGACTTGAAGATTTTCTACACAACCTTTGTCAACACAGAGAGACCATGAACCTGAAATGCACCCAATCCTAAATGAGCAAAGGCTGTCATGGATAAAGTGGACATCACAGATGATAATAGACAAGGTGAGTAAATGTTGATTTTGACTCTCTGTCAGATCGATTTGCGGGAGTCTAAGTGCCTGAGTTTGTGTCTGTAGTTTTGTTTTGGTTTAAAGCTCCACAGAGCAGGATGTAATGACATCAAGTGACAAAGGATCATAACTTATCAAAGCTACACAGACGTAGCCCTGCAACGCCAGCTAACGAGTTTTGAAATGATATTGAACTATTAAAATAACCCTAAAAGATATTGCCAGTAGCCTGTACAGCAAAAGAGAAAATATAATAAGTAATACATGTATTATGTTTCTTTACTATGTTTTCCTTTGATTATTTTTTTTCTACAAAAGAACTCAAGATCAGTCAGATTGTATGGAAGACATCTTTTCCTTTTGTAATTTCTCAATTAGATGAAGATATAGACTTAGACTGAGGCATTATGCTTCAGTAAAGTACAAACGTCTGAGCCTTCACAGAACAGCTGTTCCTAATCTGAAATCAAATTACACAGCTGTTGTCTGATTCTTGGATGAAGTCCACACTTTTTAGATTGTTGGTTAGAAAGATATAAAGATATAAAATCATGTCATTTTCCTTCAGCGCCTTCTTTGTGTTTGTCTATCACATAAAATGTCTATAGGATGCATAACACAGTGACCTGGTACCGATTCTTTACTTATTTACATTTAATTTGGCATAAGCACAGATATTAAACACAAGTTCACAGGAAAACATCTGCAATAGCATAAGTGCAAATTGTTTATATTTTTCTCAAAAGCAGTTATAATCCATGCACTTAAAAAAGAGCAAATACAGAAAGTTGTAAGTAAAATTAAATTCAGACAAAACCTAAAATAAAATCCCAGAACCACAAAGACTAAACAACACTGATGCTGTAATGCTGAATTTATATAGCCAGCTGTGAAAAAAATTATGCACAATGGACTTTCAAGATGTTACAGTTGCAACAGGGGAATGTGCAATACTTTTTGCATAAATGGCAGTTTCAAGCTTGTCATATTGGACATTTCTCTTAAACTGTTTGCTTTAAGAGTGTTTTTCCTTCCTCTTAGATTTTAGAGGCTAAGCAGATACTGAAAGCCACTTAAGTGTTCAATGGACAGGAGTGACACACTTTCTTTATCTTGAAATAATGACCACATTCAATAAGTCTAGGCTTGCTCAAAAATCAAGTTATTCCTTTCCAAATATCATCAAAAGCCCATAAGTCATTGTCCATAAATCTAAAAATTGTCCAATAAGTACTAAACTCTTTGGACAATGAGTCCATCAAAGTGCTTCCTGCCACCAATACCTGTCACCTCAAAAAAATTTGCAACTTCCCATGCAGAACAGAAGTGGCCCAATTACAGGGCTGGGATTACATGTCTAAAAATATAAGAATATAATTATGATGGTTAAGATATAAAATTGTTTTAAATGTAGGAGCACGTGTTGTAGATTGTATCCATTTATAAGAGAGCAATTAATCTTAACTTCTATTTTATGGTCTTGTGAGTTGATATCTGAAGAACAACTCTGATAATATTCTCCCTTGTTTGCCCACTGACTATGATGTAAGATGATCCTCTCAAGTGGAGCGAAAATTAAAGCAGGAGTAAAGAGGGTGAGAAAAGAGAGGAACGGCAAGTACAGATGAAGTAAAAAAAAAAAGTTATACTATATATATACATAATTTCTCTGTAGATTTGACAGACAGTTTGGAGCTGAGATGAAAAAGAAAAGCAAAGATGTAAACCATGTGTTCATACACACTGATGCAGAAAGATATTCTGATGTAATTGTGGGCAGATAGGAAGGAGAGCAGAGACAGTCTCCCAGTCACTGGACCATTTTTTTAGTGATTTGAGATTTGAGTGACAGCTGGAGCGCATATACAGATGAACACACAGCACTTCTTGTTAGTGGCGTTAGATTGGAAGCAGATGTTGACTCTGCTACTGTTAGCAGTTTTGTTGACTGCCTGACTGTTTTACTGGAGCTCTACCAGCTCAACCATCTCACTGAAATACCTGCTGAGCTCCTATAGATCTACCCGAGTCAGAATTCAACGCCTTGTTTGAACCTATAAGCAACATCCAAAAGCAAAAAGGTTACATTTAAAAATACCCTTCCAAGTCATACTTGGTTTGATAAAAGAAAGAGTTTCAGATAGCTTAACACTGCTGCTGATAGCAAAGCCCAACACTTAATATTGGCTATGGTTTAATTAGAGGTTAGAAATAAGGAGCAAAGTGGTTTGACAACCAATTTCACACTTTCCTCCCTCATTCTCATTTGCAAAGTATCTAGTTGATGCAGAAATATTAAATTGCCTCAATTGCTTATAATGGTCAACAGAATCTTGGATCCAATGACCATTCATCTGTCTATGTGGGTGTAGACTCAGTTTCAATTTGATGTATATTTATTTGTTTCTGCTTAGACAGGTTGGCTAATCAGTCTGACTTTCTGACCACCACCTTCATGCTGCCTGTACACAGCGTCACCTCCAGGCAACCAGTGGGAACCTAGAGCATTGCACTCACTCACTCACTCACTTGCATTCATTCATTCAAACACAAACTTTCAAACTCTACAGCAGCATCATTATCCACTTTCAAAATTTCGAAAATATCAAAAATGTGTCAGCTTTTTGCGCCTTAGAGTAACAGCAGCACCATTTTGCTAAAAAATAAAAAAATAATAAAAAATATATATTTGTCAACTTTATTTATTAGTCCTTAGATCGAAACAGGAACATATTAAAAATGTGTAAAGTTATTTGGTAAAAACAATAATAAACAAAACAAGCCACAATAACCACTTGGAATCTGTAATATCTGAAAAGATTCATACTTTTTAAGCTGGACAAGATTTTCTCCTTATGCAAAAAGCGTTGGTAAATGATACTAAAATGGTCTTAGGATGTTCCCCGTTTTTCGACAGATTATTAACCCAAATCTCTCTCGGTCTGTCAGAAACGTCCATGCAACAGGCGATATTCTCCCATACAGACTCCGCTCTGCTCCCCACCTTCCCACTTCCCCCCGACCCGACAAACCCGCTCACTCACCTGGGGACGCTGATGCCTGGGCACGATGCACCGCGGACCGGCGGATGGGACAGGTAGGTCGGTTAGCACCGAGGTTCTTCACCTCCGGAACAAAAAGCAATTTGCACACAACAAAAAACGGTTCCTCCGGGTCAGAGGCCGTAAGGTCGCGGTTCAAAGTATCCCAAGCTTTTGTCAGAGGAACCCTTGCCGTACCGTGAGGAATGAGCGCTTGGACGTGAAAATGCGCTGAAGGTCTAACCTCTCATTTAGGAACCGATGGAATGAAGGAGTTGAGTTGAGTTGAGGTATTAGGATCCCAGGAGAAAATTAGGGGAGGGGGAGACCGCACCCCCTACTAAAATACGAATATCAGTGAGAGCTGAGGAGAGTTTGGAGCAGAGGTGAACCAGTAACCAGGGGCGCAACTACATACTTTCTGAGGTGTATGCGAACATAACCTTGTACAATTCATCTTTAATTGAAGTATCAATCATAATAAATGTATATATGTGTGAATAAATTGCTGCCTACAGGGCAATTAAAACGAATGAAACAAAAAGCAGGGCAATATTTCATCATTTAACATATAAGTGAGCCACTTCTGTTGGCCTGTGTCTAGAACCGCCTAAGGGCTGCAGGTCTGAGGCATTTTGTTAGCATGTTTTCTATCATTCTTATAGCTTGATAGGATACCAGCTCATTCCATCTGTATATCCACCTTGTGTTTAAATTACAAGCAACTGTAGCATAATGATAAAATGATAAATAATGATGCAATGTGACAGATAGATAGATAGATAGATAGATAGATAGATAGATAGATAGATAGATAGATAGATAGATAGATAGATAGATAGATAGATATGAATTATATCTATATATTTATATGTAGAGAGAGAGATCGACAGATGGATATATAGATTGATATTGATATGTGTATATATATACATAGAGAGATAGATATCTATATATAGATGGATATCTATACATATATATCTATATGTAGCTAGTATAGTTAGTATTCATCTATGTAGATATATTTATCCACATAGATAAATGTAGATAAAGATATATAGATATAGATTTATATATCTTGCCCAGAAAGATAAATACTTTTCAAAATGTTTCCCAATTCATATAGGTTTAGACTTCTAAAAGGTTAGAAATAAAAATCTTACAATGGATGAACATGAGTACTGATGTTGAACGTGGGGGAAGCTGGAGCACCCGGAGTGAACCCACACCTACACGGGGGAGACATTTCCCACCGTGCAGCCCTGACTTTTTAATATTAAAATTCAATAAGTCTAGGCTTGCTCAAAAATCAAGTTATTCCTTTCCAAATATCATCAAAAGCCCATAAGTCATTGTCCATAAATCTAAAGATTGTCCAATAAGTACTAAACGCTTTGGACAATGAGGCCATCAAAGTGCTTCCTGCCACCAATACCTGTCACCTCAAAAAAATTTGCAACTTCCCATGCAGAACAGAAGTGGCCCAATTACAGGGCTGGGATTACATGTCTAAAAATATAAGAATATAATTATGATGGTTAAGATATAAAATTGTAATATCCAATTAACAATTAACAACAATAATGTTCCAATTACTGCTAATCACCCAACCCACACGTGGCTCCACCCTCCTTTCAAACCTAATATACTGGAGACATAAGGTGATGTCGATGGGCTTTACAACACCAGTTGAGTCATGCATGCTTGTATCACTGAAACTCTTGACTAGAGCAATAAGTGCAGCAGAATATTTACTTTCTGGAGGTAGGAGGTCGTTCTCCCCCTCCCCCACCCGCCTTGTCCTCAGCCCATTCAGTGTTTCTCCAGGAGGTCTGAGCTCCTAACTTACTGTTCTTTGACCTTTTGAAGAGGTGACTGTCACCTTGGTGACTGACCACACTAACAGCTACATCCATGCAGGTTTAAACAGGGTGAATGGGATTGCCCTCAAACATGGGCAAATGTTGGTTATGGCTCAGAAAGCAAACATGTAAAGCAGGCTACTCTGATTTACATCAGTGTGCTGGAAAAGGTGAAAGAAACATTTCATTTTTTTGTCTATGTTTTCCTTCCCCCTCTCTCTTTATGAAAGTCAGATTGACACATTGAACATGTAAATGTTTTCCTACTTAGGGCAGTTGTCTGCCTAGGTCTTGCTATGTTTGCTTTTCTGTGTTAACATTTTCAGAAAACTTTGTTCAGTATTCTGAGTTAAAGTTTTTGGTCACATAAATGCAACAAAAATAAATTGTAGCACACTGACTTTTTGTTTATGTAAATATGTCATATTCTATTCTGTCAGCAATTTAAAAAAATAAATAAATAATATATATATACGCTTCTTTCTATGTTAGTTTTTAAGATTGTCATGGTTTTGTCCTGAGGGATGGAAGTTACATCTACAAATAAACAGTCATGTCTTTTCTATTCAACCATCATTCATACAATTTAAATCTGTCCTATTGTTCTTTAAAATCCAGCCTTCTTCTCTCCTCTTTTCGTGTTGACAGATTTCATTATGAGTAACATTCCAGAGTCCAGGCCTCTGGGACTTTTCTTTGGTTCTGCCTCCTTATTACTTTGTTGCAGTGCAGAGAAAACACAGTTAATGTAACAGCAGCCTAACATAACAATTTGACCCTTAGTTACTGCCTAACTGATCTACTTGAAAATCAGTTGAGCAGAAAATCCACTGACTACACAGACTAAACTAAACTAAACAGAAAATCCACGAACAAATGGAAAACTTAAAATCATTTTTAAGTTATTATTATTATTAACACACCTGAGTTAATGTGTAGAGCTATTGTGACTACAGATGGAGAGGAGATAGAAGCTGATAATGAAGAAAGAGTTATTTATTCAAGCTGGTTTGTGAAGAAAAGTGACAGTAAATGGTCAGGGAGAGTTCTGCTGTAGACTCTAGAGGAGTCCAGATGATTTACTGTTTTTGTAGATCTGAAAGAAGGATATAACACAATGGTACTACTTAAGGAAGTCAAGCAAGACAGAGAAGTATGTGAGAGGTTTGGCAGACAAGAATGGTGGGGAGGAGTGTGGTAGGTTTGGTGGATGGGTCAGAGGTGGGGGTGGGTCACCTTTGTGTCATTGTTTAGTAGAACAAACAATGCTGAGTCATGTGGAAATCTGAAGGAGGACTAACCTGAACATTTTAGCGTAACATTCAGTTTGTTTATGCAATGTTGTGAAATTCAATTCAATTTTCACATTTTATTAATCCAAATTCATGCCAAGAGGACAAAAAAAAAAAGACTTTTTAAAAAGCAATATAATTTGACTAGATTCAACTAGGCTTTCCAACATGAAAGTACTTTATTTGCTTCAAAATATTGGAAAGCAACATATTTGCTATGCTGCTCCATCATGACTAATTAATATAAAAAACTGAAAGGGATAGATGTACAAATAATACACTCTGTGGCTGTATATTACTGACACCATTGTCATCCAATCAGGAGACTTGACCCGGGCTTTCAAGGCTGTCATCTTCTGGGTGGAGCGAGAGAGGCAAAACGGGAAGCTCATGCAGACCAGAGCGTCACCATCCTGCACGCCAAGGTTGCTCAGAAGTCTTATGGCAACGAGAAAAGGTCTGGTAATGTGTCTCTGGTATTGAAAAAAAGCATTCTGCAATACAAAAGATAACAGAAATAAAAAATTCAACAGTATGGCTAAGTAGAAATAACCCCCCATTTGGTCATTGAACCTTTATCTAATGTGAAGTCATGACACATTAGAGCCTCTTTGAACCTGTTGGACATGCTCCTGCTTTGAACTGCAGGAAAAACTGGCTAAAAACTCTGATAATATGCTTATTAATTTTAGAGTTTTAGGAAGAAGCAGATAAGAGTAAAACATGAATAAAATGTCTGACTCGTAATAAGAAATTAGAGACAGTAAGAGCATATTTACAACCTGAGAAAAAAATCACTACAGTTATTAAAATGTGCATAAAAGTGTACAAACTGCCTGTATATTTATATTGATGTAGACTCCCACATCCCCATCAGGTTTTTCTGCCCTCCACCTTGTGTTTATATCAGCGGTCATGGATGGAGAGTCATGCAGGACCATTTGAAAGGTGACATGACAAAAACATTTAAGTTAAGATGTCAAATCATCCTCTTCAATCTAAATGATTTTTTCTTCTGTCTGACTTCCTATCACCCCATCATTCCCTACTTTTCTCTCACCACTTGTCCTGCAGCGGGAGGTTATGGGGACTCAGTTTATCGGATATGTGGATACATGTGTCTGGACAGCTCCAGTCAGTCACAAGCAGACGCATTCAAGCTGCTCTTTGATGAGCAACCAAACTCAAGGGTGAGGAAGCTATGATCTATGTTTTGCACAAATGTGGTGTTAGAATTCATGTTTTGTTCCCAAATACTTTTTTTTGGGCACCAATATTATCTAACTTCAACCATCAAAACCATTTTCTTTTTTATGTTTTGTTGGCTGTAGTGGCCTTTATTTGGTATTGAAAAGAATTTTCAGATAATAAATAATATTGGTTGGCTTCAAGAACATTTATTTAGAAATTAAAGGGTATGCTCATGGTTTGAGGAGCCGGTTCAGACGTCGGTTCCTCGATCCGGTCATCATGTTCTCAGGAGGAGCAGAGGCACTTTCATCCTGCCCCTGGGAACAGTTGTCCAGATCTTTAGGCCTCCAGAATCACAGAGGGATTCATGGGAGCTTGGCTGTCTGGTCTACATGTGTTTTGTGAATCTGGAGAAGGTTTACAACACAGTCCCCCAAGGGTCAAAGGTCATGACCTCCTTTGTGTCCTGGAGCAATTTGCAGTAGAGTGCAAAATGGACAAGTGACCATTATCCCAACCCTGAAATCACAAGTTGCTGGTTGGAGGTTAGACTCCATCTCAAAGGGAGAAGTTCAAGTATCTTGATGTTTTGTTTATAAGTGGTAAACTGTAGAGCAGCTTGAATTAACAGGTGATTAAGAGGATTTAACAGCATTTAACGACATGCTGAGGAGCTATCAAAGTCATTTGAATCAGGTAAACTTTGAGCAGCCCCAGAATTTGCTGGAGGGATTATAAAACCCTTTTGGAAACTGTTTGGGATCCTCCAGAATGAGCAGAATGGAAACGGCATCTCGGTGTCCAGATGGACGCATGGGTAATTACAGCAGCATACGGTTGCCTGAGAAAAAAAAAAACAAAGCTGTACTCCTGCTTTTGTTTTTCTGGTTTAGAGATAATTAAAAGTTTTCTCTAAAAATAGTTTGAGACAGAATTATCCCAGTAAGTTCTAGTTCATGTTTCTGTTTTTTTTTAGTTTTGACACTGACTGTCTTTGTTTCTGCAGCAGTTGTTTGCTTGTGCAAAGTCCCTCTTCATCTCCGACCAGGACAAGAGGAAGCATTTTTGCCTGCTGCTGCGACTTTTTTTAGGCAACAGACAGGAAGTGGGCTCCTTCCAAAGCAGGATGATCAAAGTGATCTCCAAACCTTCCCAGAAGAGACAGTCCATGAAGAATGCTGACTGTGAGTCACGCTTTTCAATCCAGGAAATCCATCTGTTTTTATTTACTTTACTTTTTCAACAAAGTAAATTTGTAACAGTAGGATGATGTACAAATTATACAATGAGCAACAAAGCATTAAGTTAGAAAGGAAGACAAGAAAATCAGTATAGAGAAAAGAATTAGCTTGAATTAAAGTTGTTAAATTTAGAATGTATTTTTCTCGGTATACTCACACATAAATACCCACATCAGTGTGAAATTTTGAGACTAATCAGAGGCTAATTTGCTTAAAAGTTTGACCCTCTTCAGTCGTTTGGTTTTACAGCTCAATGTATGGCTTTATTTTGTGTTGCTTAACCAGTGAACCAGAGTTTACTGAAATGGTGAAATGGTGAAGATTCATAATATGCTGACTCTTTCAATCATGACAAGAACTTTTATTATTAAGCAGTTTTTTAGGGGTCTAACAGTGCACAGCCATCATGATGGTCTGTTCATTACAGCAGAAGATGGGAACAATGCATGAAATATCAAAATGTACACTCTTACTCTTCACAGAAAGACCTGAGGTATGAATAAGTGTAGTGTGTCTGACAGTGTGCCTTTATGTATTCCCAGTGTGTATATCCTCCGGCTCCAAAGTGGCTTTGTTCAACCGTTTACGCTCACAGACGGTCAGCACTCGTTACCTCTCAGTGGACAGAGGAGCTTTCATAGCCAGCGCCAGACAGTGGACAGCCTTCACCATCATCATGGGTAAATGTGTGTGAGTGTGTGTCACTGCTGGTGTGCTACCTGTAAAGTATCTTCAAAGCTTTTTGTATCCAAAAAGCTTTGAATGCAAAACATGACATTTCTATGACGTGGTCATGCGTCTTGTATTCTGCCAGTATCTCAGTGGAGTCAAGACAATAATCTGAGTACGAAGTCGTGACTTCAACAAAGAGATATTTTATATTGGATATTGGATGCTCTAGTAGGTATGGGCAATACTATGCAAAAAATTCTCAAGTTCTCATTAATCAATCTCTCTAGAGCACAGGTGTCAAACTCCAGTCCTCAAGCGCTGCTGTCCTGCAACTTTTAGATGTGCCTCCGCTGCACCACACCTGAATAGAATAATTAGGTCATTAGCAAGGCTCTGGAGATCTTATCTACACAAGGAGGAGGTAATTAAGCCATTTCATTCCAGTGTTTTGTACCTGTGGCACATCTTTAGCATACCTGGTGACAAGGTAAACATGAGTCTTTGTCATTTTTATGCTTTTTGTGTGGTTTTTCTAAGGGTTGCCAATAAATATGGATGGTGAAATATGCATCCAACAGTTGAACAGAAACAAAATCAAAATTAAAAAACACAGAATAAAGGTTGGTATGGTAAAGTGCCAAAATGTATATTAATCTCCACAGAAATGTTGACTCATGAGGTCTAACAGCAAATATCTCTGTAGTAAAATAGCATCAAAGTTCTACCTTCAGCTATCAGACAGCTCACCTCATAATTCAGCCTCCCTGCGTTAATAAAGACGCTGTATGTGTAAGCAGGTATTCATCAGCATTTCCCCCCTCACAAGTCTGCTGGAGCCCACCCAAAGGTCAGGGAGGTTATTTACGTAGCACGATGCTTCGAGAGCGCAGACCTCCCACAGCCAAAACCTCAGCCTCAAGTGATCATCCATCAGCACACCTCACACCATCTCCACATCACTCCGACTGTCACAAAAAATACACTACTGTATGGAAATTAAAAAGGTTTAATAAGAAAAGATTTATTCACATGGTGGAAACATTTCTATGAATAATCACACAAAGTTCTTGTGTGTTTGTAGTGGATGACCAGCGTTCTGACCAGGGCGGGATTGTGCAGAGTGAAGGCTTCATCTGTTATGGTTCTGTGGTCCAGTTCATTTGCACTGAGTCAGGAGTTGCCCTGCCACCCATGGTAAGACACACACACACGCACACACACACACACACACACACACACACATGCAGATTTAGGGCAAGGATCTCAGTTTTGCTGTCATGCTTTGTTTCCTAAAAGAGAACTGTCACTTTAAATACTGTAGTGTGAATGAGCTACATCAAAAGGTTTCTGAATTATTAGATTACCAAAATAGGATCAGTCATATAAGAGAAACTTGGACATATTTCAACAAGAACAGCATAGAAATTTTGAGCTTATGAAAATATTCATACTGTGCAGAGTTTGGAATGAAACCTGCAGGAATAAAATATTATTTAGACTAAACCAGAAAAAAGGACATTTTGAAGTGGCATGAAGAAAACAGCTGAAAGTAACCAAAATGTCAGGTGTGTGTGTGTGCAGTGCAGTGGACATGAATAAGTTCATGTTTTGGATTATAGTTTTGTTATTAACTTATTGTTGTTAAAGGTACAAAAATATCATTAATGTCAGTTTAATCTTGTATTTAGAAACAGTTTTTTAGATGCTATGGTTCCTTTTTCTTTGAATACAAATATGCTAACACGATCATATTTTGAATATCCTTATTTAGCTCAAATTTTCATCCAAAGGAACCAAGAGAAAATGTGTCTATTGAGAGTTTCCATCAAAATATTATCCTTACCCCTTATTATAAGTAGCAATTATCATTAATGAGTAGCCTGGGAAAATTTGAAGAGCGTAATCTCTCACTCTGTTTTTGTTTTTGTCCTTGTTCTGTAATTGCAGAGCATTTAAAATGGCTCCTATCTCTTCATCCTAATATAATATTAACTCTGACCCTTAGATGGTTATGTGAACATTTAGTCCCATAAAAAGTTCTCAATTTTCTCCCATCATCCAATTTATTCCGTACTCAGATAAATGTCTGAGCAGAGTCCCTCACTTTTTGCTGAACAGACCTTTTTCTTACACCCCTTGAGCTGCTGACACAACACACTCTGCTGTGGGTCCTGTGGAAGTCGGTTAAATTATACCCTCATGCTACACCTCTATATGTTATTGTAGTCGATCCCTATTACTGCACAGCTTGTTTAAAGTTAGAGAAATTTTGCCTGCTAAGTTGTTAGCGTGACAAGATTGTTGGCTCTGATTCCTTTAGTGGTTTTCTCCCAGATGTCTAAGGTTGGATGTATGGACCATGAAGTTCAACCAGATCAGCAGATTTAAGTATTAAAACAACATGTTTAATATCTTGTGAGCTGTGGAGTCAGAGGGGTTTTAATTCTCGGCTGTTAATATTTACGATCTGGACCTAAAACATGAAATTACCAAAGTTAAATGACTGAAATATTTTTATTAATTGACTGGATAGACAAGCTTGATTTTGAGATTGTTATTAGCTCCCTTAATAAACATTGATTGTTCATATTAATATGCACACATACATCGTCAAAATTATTAAATCAAACCATGTTTTCCCTACTTGACAACAATAACTACGGATGAGAAAGAACAGAGAGGGATGGATGAGACACACAGCTGCTAGACTTACAGATGGGCTTATGTGGTTTAGTAATTTCCTGGACATACTGACCAATCAGAGTGCTTTTACATAAGAGCTACACTTACAAGCCACACTCATAACACTGCAGATCGATAGACTGCTTGCTCAGCAACACATTATCCTGCATCAGTGGAGGAAGATGGCGCCAAGCTTATAACTTTTCATTTGCGATGCAACTGTTATTCCCAGGAAGCCACTCTGCAACAACTCTTTCTCTTTGCTCTTGCCATCTACATGTTTGTCCTCTTGATATCCATTATTGCCAGGAAATCCAAACCATTATGTAAAAGGAAATATTTCTGGACAGCCATCAATATTCAAAAACATTTACATTTTTAAACCTCATAAAACAGTCTTGGCCTTTTTGTGAGAAATGACTCAGAGAGACTTTGTCATGCTAGTGAGTAAGTTTTGTTTTTTTTTTAAATAAATGATAGCATTATGTAGCCAACATGAGTGAATAGCAGCGTAAAAGGCAGCTTAACAGGCTGCCTTTGTGATAATGCTTTGATTTTACTTTGCCTCAACTACAAGGATAACATAGGATGCACAGGCACCTCTCAGCTGTCAGAACTGTGACAAGAGCAAAAACACTGCACTGTCTGCTATGTCTAATTCATTTACAGCAGCCTGTCTGACCAGAACAAAGGGATATTGAGTTATTTCCATTAAGCCATGCTCAAGTCTGGGGTTTCCATGACTTAAATTGATTACATTATTGTAAGATGTCCAGAATGAAATAAGTTAGTTTTTTTTTTTTTAAATAGCTCAGGGTATGCAGGCCCCATCCTGCCTAACATGAGTTATAGGAAGCCCCTCTGCCCAGCTGTGAGCTGGTGAAAGGTTTACTGCATGTAAATGTTTGGATACAACTCTAATACACCACTAAAAAGTTAAGTGAGGCGTTTTTAGTAAAATCTCAACTTGTTCCTTTAGCTTACTAAACTTGCGTTCACAGGAATTCGATTTTTTTATTTTTCTGCAGAAATTATCTTTGAGGGTCTGAAAACATTCCTGAAATGTTTGATCCCTACAGGTTATCCGGAAGGTCAACAAGCAGCACGCCATCTTAGACGTGGACGAACCCGTTTCTCAGCTACACAAGTGTGCCTTTCAGTTCAGAGACAATCCCAACTCTTATCTGTGCCTGTTGAATGATACCATCATACAGCACCAGGTAAAGCATCACCTCACTCTATTTTCCTTTCTTTCTATGCTCCGTTTACATTATCTTTATTTTTTTTCATTATCTCAATCTCTTTATGTCAACTTGTCTTCTGACGTCTCCTCCACCTTTACTCTGATGAGGCTCCGTCCAGCATCAGAGACTCCAGCAGGGTGGTGCTAAACGATGGATCCTGCTGGACCATCATTGGAGTGGAAGTGGTTGAATTCACCTTTAATCAGGGTTTGGCCTGCATTCAGACTCCAGTCAGTCCTTTTCCCATTATTAATGGGTTAGAGGTGAGTTTGTCAGAACATGACTTCTTAAAAAATATTTCCACAGATCTTCTTAAATCAGTTTCACCTCATCTAGTTATTATTTAACGGGTTAATCTGTGGTTCTATTTAGCCTAATATAAAAGGGAACAAATATCTGAGATAAAAAATATATTCTTCATAAATTCTGCATGTTTTTGAAGGTGAATGGTGGAGGACATGTTGCCATGCTGGAGATCCATGGAGAAAACTTCAGCCCTCACCTCAAGATGTTGTTTGGGAACAGAGAAGCTGAGACGATGTTCAAGTGAGTTCAATAAGGGGAAATCCAGATTATGACAGAAGGAAGGTAAACAGAGAAATACTGGGTAAACTTTAAAATGGGGCAAGTCAGTGAAGCTGTTAAGAGATATTGTTAAAAGATAAATAATTGTAGATGAAATAAGACGTATGCAAAAAGTCATATTGGAAACAAGCAGTCATCTATTTTACATGACCTGAAGTATAAAGAAACTTTGATACAGTAATCTGGAGCTCAGCTCGGCCTCCAGGGAGACTCCTCCACTTAACTCTTCTGTGGGAGCTTTTAATTTACAGGATGGGTCTGCAGAAACTGGACAGCCATCCATCCTCTTACTGAATCTCACACAGGATGAAAGCAGTTCCTCTGACGCAAGAACTGGCCTCAGATCCCACACCTGAAGAGCTGGGGAGTCATACTTCAGGGTCTCTGGTAGAGGACACCTCACCACCAGTTTCTGCCAGAAATCCTCCCAGCAGCTCGGCCGTATCTAGGAAAGCCTTGTTTGAATAACTTAGCCCTCCACAAAGTGCTGTTTGTACGAAAAGCTGCAGCCAGACGGCAACATGACCTTTCATAACCACACAGCCCCAAAGTGTAATTTCACTTTAAATGACATATGACTATTTCTTTGGTTTCATTTATTTTTACACTACTCTTGTTCTTTCATTTTGTCAACTTGGTGTAAATTATGGAAGGTTTTTACATGATTTTGCTTTTCACTGAATTTTTACACACAATTGTCCATATTAACAATACAAAGTCCTGGCTGTAATTTATTTGTCATTTGAGCTGTAACACATTAAATAGAAATAATATACACCATCTTAGGATGACTAATTATTTTAGTGATCCTATCCACTACTCGTGGAAATATACAAGCAACATCAAGTGACAAATGTGAAGAAGAATTATTTATTCTCTTGCTTTTATTCCCATACGTCTTACTCCTCTGTTTCATGCACTTTTCTCTCTTTAGGTCTCCCAAATCTCTGCTCTGCGTCATCCCTGATGTTTCGGTTTATAGTGACAGCTGGCGCTGTTTTCGTCGCATTATCACCCTTCCTTTGTCGCTCATCAGAACTGACGGCCTCATTTACCGAACATCCTACAGCTTCACCTACACCCCGGAGCTCCACCTGCCTGCATCCTCCCGAGGAGCAGCTGGAGGCAGAGAGGCAGATGGAGGTCAGGAAGACGGGGAGGACATCCTGTTAGAGACAATTCATCAAGAGTTCACCAGAACTAATTTTCACCTCTTCATGCAGAGTTAACCAGCTTGTTTACAGTCCTCAGCTGAATTTAATATTATGAAACAAAGAAATAAGGCCTGCTGTCTGGTCCACTTACATGAAACCACTGATTGTAGTCCTTTGTAGGCTTCTTTGTTCTTGCAGAAATCCATTTTACACAAGAGTGTCCAATGAAGGGTTTAAAAAAGTAGTAATTATTTGTTAACATCGTTCTTTCAGTGGGTTTGATCTAAATCCAAAGGAAAGATTTGAATTCAAACCTTGCAGGAAGCTCATCTGTGTTGAATACTTTTTGCAGCCATCAGAAAGACACATTTCGGTATGTCTAATATAATGTTATAATGTCTATAAAAGAAGAAAAAAATCTTGAAACAAAAGACCTGCTGACCGCTCTGTGAGAGGATGTTGTTTCTGAAGGGACAGACTCACCATCTGAGGGCTGCCTGTGGAGAGAATAAACTGCTTCCTATTGGATCCATTTAGAAACAGCTTTCAACTTCAGTTTCTGAGAAATGAACGAAGCAAGAGTGTAATCTGTACCTTTTTATGTGCTAGTTTGTGACCCAGCTGTAATAATTTAAAGTCATGTAAGACAAACATGGTTCAGTTTCAGCCTTTTGACGTGAGGCAACAGTATTTACAACCAAAGATCAGCTGAAAATTAACTGATCAAACGGTTTCAAATGAAAGGCAGATGCAACACATTGCAGTTGTTTGTTTTTTAGTTACAGTGGCATTTTGGTTCTTAGTGGAATTGGGTGAGGAGAAAACTTAGTCACACTGGGTGAGAACATTCAGACTCCACACAAAACGGCCCCTGAGAGATGTGAACCAGAGACCTTCTAGGTGTTGGCCTACAGCGCTGACTGTGCTGCAACGGCATTGACAGCCCGACTGACCCAAGTGTTACTTTGAGAGATTTGTGCCTCTTGCAGAGGTTCTGTTATGAAAGACAACAGTGCCATGTCACCAATGCTGCTAATGTTTTTACTGCCTCCTTGATTTATCCAGCTCACATCTGATTAGACACACATTTTGGCTCTGGACTGTTGTTGGCTGAGTTCATAGTGACTCGTTATTTAGTTGTGATTTGCTTAAATCAGTTTTGTGCTCATGAAAATTCTAGCTGTTGTTTTTTAGGCTTCTGTTTGACTAAACAGTGTAATAATTGGTGGAATAAAGTTTTGTCATCAATATATCTACAGTATATCACAACTTTGCATATTTGTATTTGTATTAATCATGCATCTAATATTAAGCATGTAAGCTTGGGTCTCTATCAGCTTCATCTTTAACAGCACTTTATTCTCTGTGCTATCTGTTTTACAGGAACCTAATATTTGTACCGGCATCTACATTGACCAGCCCAGTATAAAACTTGAGACGACAATAATTACTTTAGATTACCAATGATTGTTCAAAAGCTTTCTTTGCAAACTTTGTGAACAGATAAGTCAAGCTGCTCAGGTAGCCGTGTTTTCATGAGTTTAAGGATTATTTCTGTGGATTTGCGTCTGGAATTGCCTCTGATCTTCTGCTGTGCTGCACATTAGACAGAAATGTTGGAAGCAGAATAAAGCGACGACAGATATCTTTTGGATCACATCCCATTTGTTTCCACCGCTCTACAATATTAGCCCTTGGCAATGTTAGGTTCTCAGTCCTTTTTTGTTAATCCAGTTAATCAAAGTGTCATTTTGCAGCAAAACTCAAACACCAACAAAGCTTTCTTTTCTTAGGCTTTTTTATTCCCTATTAAGGTATTGTGATCAAGTCTCTGGTCAAACGAGCAACTAAAAAGCTCTTTTGTTTCCTCCAGAAAAAGCATAAGAAGACCTCCCAGATGGCTCTCCACTTAATTCTTTTTTGCATATCCTGGATGCTAATTGTTTTTACTGTAACACGGCATCTCAACAGTTGATATGTTGTCCAACAATGTTCTTTCATCATGCAGATCAGTTGTTGCCAGACTGATTGCAATCAAAAACTGCAAGTCATTTGATTTATTTTTAATAAAGCCTGACTTGTTTTTTGCCAACAAAAACATCTAGTTTTACTTCATCAGAGTCACTTTCAAACTTTGAGTTTACTGAGTTTAGGTTGTTTGTTTGCTTGTTTTCTTCTTATGAAGTGTAGTTTTGTGAACAACCAGTTTCTTACCAGCAGCAAAAAGTTTGGTTAATCAGTGAGAAGTTTCATGAAGAAAGTTAAAATAAGAACTTCTCAAAACAGAAACTTTTCAAAAGGAAGCCTCTATAAAATAAACCAAACTGAAATATTTTAAGTTCTTTGAATGAATTCTGCACTGTTTTACATTTGCATGAGATTCTAATGATTATCGTGTCATTCATTTCTCAACAAAACACTGTGGGACACATTTAATGCTTTGTTCAGCTCCTGTTGTTCTGCAGTTCTGGCAACATTTATGGAAGCTCACATCAAGGCCAACAGGGAAATTATGAATCATTATCGGGATATCAAAGGAGCTCATTTTTTATTTAAATTGCAGAAATGTTTTTGGAAAAGTGAAGGGTAGAAGAAAAGAGGCTTTGTTGCATCTGGTATTAAAGGACACATTCTTGTTGGCTGTTTCGGCCCAATTTGATTTTGTCCAGATAAAAGGTTTTGTACAGTACCTTGGCAATCTGTACATTTTTAATAATATTTTCTGGTCTATCTAAAAGATGTTTTCATGTCTGGAAAAATATCCTGCTGCTCTTGGCAGTGCATCACTGTGACAGTATGGGGCAGGACATGTTTAATGTTGGCCTATGAAATGACTACAAATGGCACAAAAAGAGGAAAAAAACAGAATAACTTTTCTATTACTCAACCAAGCAAGCGAGGGAGTAAAGGGACATTGACCTTCCTTTCATACCTCACATGTTGAAAGTCTGAGAGGCACAGAAAGGCATGAGTCTTTCTTCCTGCTCACATTCTTCCTTCCTCTCCTCCTCTTCCTCATTATTAGCAAGACAAACACGTGTGAGAGAAAGGAGGAAGGAGACTGGTACAAACACAAGACCGTGGCGTCTCTGAACTGCTAATCTCTGTCATGTGGGAGAAACTTCAAACTAAAAGATTCACATGCCCAAAATAGTGAAGGCCCACACGATTTTCCCTTCATCCTGGTCAATGAGAAGTCGTATGAAAGAGGCCATTCTGAGGTTCCCATCTACTGTAAAACACCCACAGTCTTTATTTAAACTCTTAACTTCCTTCTCTGTGTTAGCTCGATGCTTTTACAGCCTTTAGGTTAAGTGTAGCCTTTCTTAACCCCTTTATAATGACTTGTTCTTGTAATAGCTTCTGAGAAAATGAGCTAATGATTGACAGCTTATCTTAGTTTTATGTGATATTATGTTACTTATCTCCACTGAGCATTAGATGAGAGGTGAATGACACAGGATTGACACTTTGGTCAACACATTTCACTCTGATTCAAATTGATCTCATCCATTGTAAGACAGCAGGTAAAACAATCAAAGTACTAGTTCTTACAACAAAGTTTGGACATCAGTAAGTAAAGAAATCTGCCACTAGAGTGCAATATTTGGCAGGGACACAACTGTTCTGAAATGTCTTAAAAATACAGAGAACCATTAAAGAAAGTTTAATTCTTATAGGGTTTTTTCCATCTTATTGAAGACCTAAAACCTGAAAAACTGTGGTTTGAGCAGTGAATGAAAGGTTAAGTTGGTGAGTTTAGTTTCAGGTTTAAGATTCAAACCTATGGGATTACAGAACGATTTTGAACCTTGATAGAAAAGACACGTGCACGTCTGTGTGAGAGGGTACAGGAGCTGTATTATAGAGGGGCCCTCCAGTTTCAGCACTCGTATCCTTCACAGTGTGGTCACGGGGCCCCGGTCCCTCAGGTTCCCTTTTGTTTATTACAGTGGAATAAAGGAGTCTACTGTCCAGCACTGCTCTGCTCGGCCTCAGACGTCTGCCTGCATGTCATCACCTCAGCATCACTGTGATAGACAGGCAGCAGGTTAAAAGACAAGAAATCAGTCCAAAATACAGAGGCAACGCAAAAAAAGAAAAATACAAACGAGCAGACAAATTAAATTACATAATTATTTTCATTTTAAAATAGCTACCAAGGCACAAACAGAAAAAGCTTTAACATTTCTCCATAGATTGTCTTAAAGAGTGAAGGGGTTCAGCAGAACAACAAAACACAGCAACAGACAAGTGTTGACATCAGATACAGTTCAGTAGATAAACTTTACATCATAAAAGTTCAGCAATGTTTCCTCAGAAGGTGGATCTCATCTTTGCTCTTGTTGCTCGCAGCTGTTCAGCTCTTGGTACTGACAGGATCTGTCTGTGTGAGGAATCCTCCTGGCAGACGATTCACAGAAACATGAGCAGAATGATAATTGTTTCAAGCAAATGGACCATGGGAAACATGGAAGGAATGCTAATGACAGGTAGTAGAGATTTATACCAGGTGAGAGTGTGACTTATGCTTTGAGACAAAGTAGGACTCGGAGAAGATGGTGGGGTTGTGTGGAGTATGCATGAAGAGTAAGTAGCTACTATTTAGAGAGATTTTCCAGGGATAAATTTATGTGATCTAGAACAACTCAAACTAAAACATTACAGAGCAGCTGAAAGAAAGACAACTAAATACATTTACACCTTTTAACTTTCCAAGGAGACACTTGTTTGCCAAAGCCCAGTACACACTGTGTGATTTCAATAATTAAGGACTCAAATGTCACACTCTGCAAACTCCATAAAATGTGTGAGTAACTTGTCATGCTGTAATTTTTTTAAGATTTAATAGATGCAGAAATGTAAAAAATGTGGCTACAGGAGGTCATCACCGGGATCTGACAGAGATAGACCAACAAGAAGGAAATGTTGAAATGAATGCTTTTCGGACACTAAAAAGAGGAAGACTGGAATGAAGAACAGGAGAAAGTTGTGAAAGCACTAAGGCTAGGAAAAAGGAGAACAAGACTTTACTCATAGCAGTAGTCATACTACACAAATGTTTCACTGTAAATCTTGCTAGATATATGTTGTAAATCATATTCAGTTGCTGTAGTGCTGAATCAGCTACTGTTGAGTCTGTGACCCTGAATGACCACAGAATGCAGAGTCAGACTTATGACCAATAAGTTTATGATTCTAATTTGATGTAAAATCATTCTGCTGAAAAGATTTGACTTGTTATTTCTAGGGCGTAATTCCAGCTGCAGATTATTAAAATTTTAAACATAAATTGTTAGTTCTTCCAGCTTTGACAAAAGTCATGCTCTAAAACATGCAAAGAGGTCAAATGACAGCAGAAAAGAAAGACATGATGAATGATTACATGATGGCAATGCTTCAAGTTAAAGAAAAAAACTTCTGCATGCTATCTGTGCTTTTTAGTAACATAATTCTTAACATGGACTATGTAAAATATAAGCAGTTTTTATGACAGTTTCACCTGATCAGAGTCACTCAACATACAGACGGGCCTTCCATCTGTGCTCTGCCACTGAACAGAATACGTTGGTGGAGTATAAAGTTGGTTGTTTTTAAGGATTTCTGACTCCCCCGTTGTGCTGTGTGTTTTCGTTGAAAGACTGAACCAAAGGATGATACCCAGCTGACACAGGATGTTTCATCTTATTCAGAATTTCTCCACTTCTCTTTCTCTAACTTCCCCTTAAAGTTTAAAATGTACTCCTAATGTCAATGTTATATAATTTCAGGTGGAGATGTAGTTTTGAATACAAGATTAGACAAATAACTGCCCAGATGAGTTTTAAGGAATTAGATCAAATTCTCCTGACTCAGTGTGTGTTTGTGTTAGAGCATAATCCCCTGCTAATCCAGGACCTTTGCACATGCTGTGTGTCTGTGTTTTGTGCAACTGGTTAACTGTGCACAGAGGAAGTTGCCCTGTATTTCCAGACAGACTAGGGTCATATGTAGAGCAAGACTACAAGCTCAAAGAATTTACGAGCCTCTACAGACACGAAGCACCTTGTATCATGGTGTGAAAAGTATTTTACGAGCGCCCAGTAAATTTTACTCTTCATCACTCAACAGTCAGACATGTCTCAAACAACATATGTTCTGATGATTTTTGGGAGGCATTACCAAAACCGACAGCTTAGCAAGCAGGCTGGACCTCTGGGTTAATGCTGATTGAGCAAAAGGAGCAGGCAGGAACAGCCACTCGGACCATACAGGAGTTCAAAGCAAGTTGTGTACAAATTTAATCAAGTTAAATCCCTATAATTTATTTTCTTTGAATTCTTTAAATTAAATCCATGTGTTCTCCTTTAAAACCCAGCATGATCATTTGTTTAAGCTTAAATATTCAGCTTCTCACAGTTTTATGTCTTTACCACACAGCTTCATTGAAATGTTTCCTCCATGAAATGCCATCTGGGACACACATGTTTCAGAGAGTCGTATTTTAATCTCATTATGTATGTGGGCTGATGCTATCTGGGTGTTAAACATAAACTGATATGGAAAATACATTTAAATTCAAAAGTTATGTTTCAATTTAAGTCACATTGACTTTTTAACTTTTGTTCATTAATTATGGGCATAGAGGGAAAAAATACTTTACATCAATGTTTGTTTTGCCAAACATGAACATTTTAGTTAGTTGGGATTTTATTTCTCACTATAAATTCTAAACATCTCAGTATGACGAGTAAGATATTGACTCTAAACTGTTTTAATATACTTCCCAGTGTGGAGTGTGTGTTTCAATGACTCTTGACCTTTAATGGACCTTACTGACCTTCACATCCTCCTGTCAGCCTTTGAACTAAATTCAACAGGCCTTGAGGGAGAACACACATAATGACAGAAACACACACCCTGCTCACACTACCATGCTCAACAGTTGGTTTGTACATTTTTAGTATAACTACAATTTGAAAAATTGTTTATAATATCCAAATTTTACAACAGTTATAGACTCTAATGAAGCCGCTGCTTAAGACCCTTAATCATCAGCGGCCTCCATAAATGTTTGAATTTTTCACACAAATTATAGATTTTTATGTTTTG